GACCCAGAGTCAGACAATAAGTCTCCCACCAACGACAGCTTGAAGCCCTTACCACCTCTACCTCCGCCAACAAAACAAGGAAAGCGTCTCCAGCCTCACGTGGTATCTCCGACACCTTCTGAGTTTCTACTTGTGACCGGAACCGAGGAGACAGAACCGGGCGTTGGCATGTTTGTCGACATGGACGGTGAAGTTGTCCGGGGCACAATTAACTTCCACAGATTTCCAAAGTCGGTTGTGATTGACACAAACGAAAATGATGAGATGTTTCAGACTAGTGAAGATGCCAAAGAGGAGTTTGTTCTCGCTGTTATCGAAGACGAAGATGGTGGGAAGTTCCGAACAAGACTCGAAATCCAACGTTGGGACGACGACCCAGGGGAGATTGAGCGGACCAAGAGCTGGTTAGAGATACCTTCTCCCGGAGAGACACAATCCCAAGTCGGCCTTCGACATACCCTCAGCCCTAGCCATCTTGAGCTCAACGAAATCGGGCAGCTCTTGCGGATGGTCCGCCTCAAAAACCCGACGCTGCCACCGCATGTGTCGGTAGCAGATTCGAGAACTGAGGCATCTATCGAGCACTCCCAAAAAGAGAAAGAGCTGTTCGATTCGCAAGAATTGGCCGACTCGGAGGGAATCAAGAAGAGCGACGGCTCAGCAACCCAAGGCTGGGAGGCTCAACGCAATGCCGAAGAAGCAAAATTTGCACGTGGACTAGGCAAGGTCCAGAGCAGTCTTGTCATGTGGTCTGGATCTCAAATATGGCGCGTACTGCATAATCCATTGATAGTCCAGCTGGAGGACACCCTGCAGAGGGCCCAGGAAACGGAAGAGAACGAGCACACGGTGCTGCGTCGGGATGCCATTCTGGATCTGCTACTCTCCGTCCAGAACACCGAGCCAAAGACCGAGGCCGAATTTATTGGATTGAGCTATGTGAAACAAAAGGCCAGCCTTATGCTTTATGGAGACCTCCTCTCCATGCAGCCAGACGACCGTGATGCCACGGCAATCGATGGCACCGAGAAAGCGCTGCTGGCAGGTAACCTCGATCCGCGTTTGGCATTGCTATTTATTCCTCTGTTGCGATGCGAGGTTTTGCAGGGGCCCCAGGGTATATGGATACACGCTGGGCTGGCAAGCATGGCGGAACAATATCTTGAACAAGTCGGGAAGATAGGCATCGAATCCTCTGGATTGGATGCTTCTCGCAGTCCTGTTCTCAATATGGTGAAACGATTCCTTCTCTCCTGGCAGCAGAAGCGGGGATATGGTAGTATCACCGATGAGACATATGTTTTAGATAGCACAGATGCTGCGCTCTTGCACCTGACCTTGGAACAAGACGCCTACCTGACGCGAGATCAGCGGGCAGCGTCGCCAATTCGCGCTGAGCTGAATAAGCTGGTCGACAATTGGAAAGGCAATTTCGACCGAGCAGTGATGCTCCTGGAAACATACAAGCGGCTCTATGTGCTAAGCCGTTTGTATCAAAGCCGAAAGATGGCTCGAAACGTGCTCAAAACCTGGCAGCGAATCGTTGATGGGGAGACTGACGCTGGCGGAGAGGTCTCCGCGGATGGTGTGGAGACGCAGATGCGCAGGTACTTGGTCAAGATAAAGGACGTGCAGCTGGTTGAAGAGTATGGCTCTTGGCTGGCTGGGCGAAACCCCAATCTGGGCATCCAGATATTCGCAGACAACGCCAGCCGTGTTAGACTCGAACCGGCGGATGTTGTTGCTTTACTCAAGGAGCGAGCTCCAAACGCGGTCCAGGTCTACCTAGAGCACCTGGTATTTGCAAAGAATGTAAGACGTCATGTTGCCTAGTCCATGCACATCTCACTGACCGGGATATAGTACACGCAATATGCCGACGACCTGATCTCATACTACTTAGACACGGTACTCTCCGTGCTTGAGTCATCCCCCGAAGCACGGGCTTCTTTGGCCGAATCCTACTCCACCTATCGAGCCCTGCGTGCTCCCAAACCGACATACTTAAACTTCATAATCGAGAACACCCCCACAGAGCCCTGGTGGCAGTCCCGACTCCGGTTACTTCAGCTGCTGGGTGGAATCTCCGGCTCTCGATTTACCTCGCAACCCCTCCCAACAGGAATCAGCTACTCAATCCCCAACGTCCTCACCCGCATCGAGCCATTCCAGAACGAGCTAGTCTCGGAATGCATTATCCTCGACGGCCTACAAGGCCACCACAGCCCGGCCCTCCATCTCCTCACACACGGGCTAGGCGACTACGACTCCGCAATCCGCTACTGTGTCTTCGGCGGTCCGCGCAGCTCTTCCTCTTCAACAGGCATCCTACCAGAACTAGCAGACTACACCTTACAGACAACGCTCTTCCGCCACCTGCTCGACGAGTTTCTCCACATTGAGGACGTGTCCGACCGTATCGAGCGCACAAGCGATCTCCTCGCGCGCTTCGCGGCGTGGTTCGATGTCCGTGAAGTGCTTGAGCTTGTTCCGGAGGACTGGAGCGTTGATATTCTCGGCGGCTTCTTCGTGCACGTTTTCCGCACGCTTGTGTCTCAGAATCGCGAGACCCGCATCGAGCGTGCCCTTAGCGCGGGTCTGAATCTGCGCATTGCTGCCGAGTATATCGACGGCACGGAGAAGGTCGGGCCCTGGGTCGAGGAGGCAGAGGGTGTAAGAAGGTTGAAGGATGCAGAGCCGCGGCGGGTTTCTTTGCCCGATGACCATAGTGATGCTTCCGATGACTCCGCTGAGTTTGGAGAGACGGTGGGTCCTACATCTGGGGAAGTGGGCCAGTAGATCGGCGATCGGGGGAGTGTACAGGATAGTATGTGAATATATTATGTTAGCTTTTAATACATGATACCTACGGAGTTCAGTTCGCTTGGATAGCTCTCGTGTTGACTATATTGATTTTTTTCGGTTATATCCTAGTTTGGTTGTGGTGCTATGTATCATGAGCCGATCCCAAATTCATCACTTCCTCTTGAGAAGAAAATAGAGACGAAAGACAGAACTGCACCACAGTAGCAGTCCTATCATGCACATTCCAAGTCGACAGAAAAGAAAAAAAGCGAAACCATCATATTGCGTTCGTTCCCTTCGTAGCTACTGATGAGCGTATGTTCCGGCGCACGCCGAAAGCCATTGGGACATTAAGGTGTGTAATGTTTTGAAACTCCAACTAGATGCAGGATGTCCATTTCCTGAAATGACGTCCCGATCCGGAAAGAATGAAACCCGGAAAGAAGATAATACGTGAAAGAGAGTTTTTTTTTTTTTTTTACTCTTCTGATTGCAGGAAAGGGTTGGGGATCTCCTCGCTTCCGTCGGCGGGGGAGATCAGTACGATCAACGTGCCACGGGCGACGATCAGACCCATTGAGCGGGTGGTAGTGTTACCCTCCTCGTCTGTGGGGGTTAGTATAAGCAGAGATAATAGATTAGATTCAAGTAAGGAAGTTGGAACTCACCACGCATGGTCTCCTTTACGTCATCGAGGACCAGGTTCATCAACTGGTCGTAACCCTTGAGAGTACCGGTGACTGTTATTGGAGTTAGCATATATGGTTCATAGATGGATGCGATGAGAAGTCAAGACCAAAAGCAGAAGAAAAAGAAAGATAATAAGCAGATATTAGAAGAGATAATCCAACATACCTTCACGACCACCATTGAACTTCACCTGAACCTCCTTGTCCATGTACTTGCCGAGATCCAAGATGTTTTCCTTTTTGGGCTTCTCCTGTGCACCGCCACCACCGCCACTTTTCTGCTGGCCCTGGCCGCCACGGCCTCCACGACCGCGACCGCCTCGGAACGAGCCTCGTTCAGACATGGCGTGTGAAATTGAGGGATTTAGAAAAAGCAAGGAAGATAATAGGTGAGGGAATAAAAGCTTGGATCCGATGGACACAGACGGGTATCTCGGTATCTTCTCTGTTGTCTGGGGGAGAGCGGAAGGTACAAGCAAGGTGGGCGCGTCTATGAGGGATTTTTAGGGACGGCGGCCTCAGGCAGGAAGGAGTCCGCCTTGGTATGGGAATTACTGATTACCGCTGTAATTTTGCGCTTGACGGCTGTGAGGAATCCCGCTCGGAGGTATTTAACAGCGAGATTACATGTATCTTATCAGCTGTCTGGACATTTCACCGTTGAAGACCATACATTCCTTGAATTCCACGTACTTGCATGTGTATGTATATCTATGGATATTCAGAATATTATGTACCAATTCGAGTTCCTTTTCCAAATCGAATCCCAGGCCAGATGATTATCTTGTGATTCCCTCCGAGCTCCCCGGGACCAAAATGTTTCAGCCCGCTGGCCCGTTCAGGCATCAGCGAAACCAACACTCCACAAGGCTGAAAGGCTTATTTTTCGAGAGATAGCAGTCGTCATGTATAGAATGATCGACTGCCATGTAGAAGCCATTCTGCATACAAAATATGTGAGACTATAGGCAAGGTGTAACTGTGTAGTTGAAGCAGCGTATCGCAGGTCAGCGGAACCCTCCGGCGGGACTCCGCTGAGGACTCCCTACAACTTAAGACCAGGTACTTTGGTGGCAGATCCTCACATTGTGCGAGTTCGGAATTGCTGCGTAACACGATTCGTCAATCACAGGAAAATGATCAAACGATAAACCAAAAAAATAAAATAAATAAAACCGACTCTTCAAGCCCCGGGACTCCAACCGGAAATCCAGATCACGTTTTTCCTCTCCACTCCCCGTGCGCTGTTCCGTCCCTCTGAAGGCGTACACTTCTCTTCTTATTCCTCCACCTTCATGGATGTAGCTTAAGTCTTCTAAAAAGGAGTCACCTGCCGGTTCCCTCCGCGCAAGTCCGCTTCATCTCCGCGCGAGTTTCATACTTCGCGCTCTTATCTGAACACTCTCCGCGATTTCTCCTCTCTTTCCTCCCAATCTTATTCTCTTCCTCTCTTTCCACCATCCTACACCACTCCAGGGTGCACATAGGGGTCTCCTAACTCCCACAATGGAATCTCACACCCCAACAACGGAGTCGTCTTCTCATAAGCGGCCTCGGTCTCCCACCAACGATCATGGCATGGCATCGAAAATGCCCAAGACGCACTCGAACCACCTGCAGATAAATTATCTGGCACGGCAATACCCTGACAACCTCCCACTCGTCTCCATCGACGATACCATGCCCGCGATCATCCATCTACTCGGCGAATACGACGGCGTTCTACACCGTCACGAGAGCATTGCCGGAAATCTGGGCGCATGCCCGCTCGGTCCGATCTTGATCAAGCGCTTCGAGCGTCTGTTCGATGGACCGCCGCAGGTGTTGAAATCCCATGGTAAAGACGGACCCACGGTGACCTGGCTCGATGTGGTCGAATTCGCAAAGAATAAGCCCGAGCAATTCAATCTGGAGAAGTCGCGCAATGGCGTGCGAGTCTGCCAGTTCTATACCAAGCAGTGTCGCGTGGAAATCAGCGAGGAGGACTTCGTTTTGATTGCCTCTGGCATGCCGCAGAAGATGATCCCACCTCAGCCTATCATCGAGGATGAGGAAAAGGAGCTAGGCGCGCTTGAGATTCTTGAAAAGAACTTGTACCATATCATCCAGATGGCTGATCAAGGTAAGGAATCACTATGTATATCAGTTTAGGAGTTGACTGACAATCTTTGTGTTCAAGTCTCTGCTCGAGCGCGACAGCTTAACCATCGTTTGAAGAATCGTCGCAATGCTATTGTCACTCGACGCGAGAACGATGCTTCTCTACACACGCAATCCCGAAATGTCCCCGAAGTGTGGCGCGATGCCAACGGTCATGGCTCAGGTAACGGCCATGTATCATCATCTCACCCCTCTCCGTCTGGTTTCGTCGCTGTCAACGCCCATCGCCCTGAACCCGAGCACACCGAGGAGAACCCTGTGACATCCCAATCATCTCAATTCATGTTCTCACAATCCACCGATAATGTCACCATGATCAACGGACAATCGATCAAAGGTGCCTCCCCAACCACCCGTGCAGATCTGATGAAGAGGTTTTTCACAACGGCTGACCGCCACGCTCGCGGCTATGAAGATGCAGCAGCCCCAGCAGCCAACCCTCAGCCACTCCCACGGCCCCGTGCCTCCGATCCAGCAGACTACAGTCTTTACAACCCGGCGACGGCAACCCCAGTCGCCATCCCAAGCACCCCATCATCCCTCCTCCCACCGCCAAAATCAATCCACCAAGAAAAAGACGACGGGGGCCCTTTCAAGCTAGAAATGATAGCTCGCATGGAAGAGCTCCAGCGCGGCGAGCGCGTCATCCCACCGTGTGACCGCTGCCGCCGCCTCCACATGGACTGTCTCAAGAACCTCACAGCCTGCGTTGGCTGCACGAAGAAACACGCCAAGTGCTCCTGGCGCGACGTCAAAGAAGACGAAGTGGCAGCATTGCGTGCGGGCATCACCACCTCAACGGTATCCAACGAGCGTCCCGATAAGGATCGCTCCAGCTCAAACGTCACCCCACCCCGGTTTATGGGTCCACTACCCCCGATCTCCGCCGAGCGCGAGCATCCCCGAGAGCCGCCCTTCGAGCCAGAGGTCAACGCCTACTACCAACACCGCCGTGAGTCGGCCCCTTCGGCCCCGAACCTGGCTCCTGGCTCTGCGGTCCCGATGGAGCTTCCTTCAGGTGATAATTCCCCGCGACGGGCAGTGAGCGAGACAGAAAAGAGGGACCGCCCTCATGTCCCTGCTGGTCGTGTCTCGGATCGCTCCGAGGACGAAGATCCCGATGCCAATCAACGTCTTAGACAGGCTATTATGGATACTGTTGATCATCACACACGCGTCGCTGCCGCTGTGCAGAAGAGGGAGCTTGGTGCCGAGCGTGGAGAACACACAGGTATGAGTGCTGCTGCCGGTGTTATTCCTGCTTCAGGCCCGGCTCCGGCTTCTAATGCTGGTTCTTATGACCGGGACCGGGAACGGGAACGTGAGGCTGATCGTGACCGTGACCGTGACCGTGATCGTGATCGGCGTATGGTGCATGCGTAAAATATCGACTTTTCTGTGTATTGATTTGTACTTTTTTCTTTTGTTTTTACATATTGGCAATGGGTTGGGTGTGGGAGTACTATGTTAGATATCCCTCTGTTTAGCGTTATTCTTTCTTTCTTTTTTCTTTTCTTCTCTCATTGAACATATCTACTTTATCTCCTTTAGAATGACTATGTAAAATATTATCTACTTCTTCAATGCCCGACGCCCGTGGCCTCTGATCTACGTTGGTCTGTGTCATACACTAGAATGGATTCAGATATCTGTGGGGCCGGATATATACTCTGCCCTAAAGACTCCCGTCGGATAGGTTTCCCCGTCGTATACAAGAGCTACGGCATATAAATCCGATCTGACATCCGACGGGGGGATCAGCGGGGATTGCGGGGTGAAACAATCTGAAGGTTATCATTCGAGAGCGTCTGATTGATTGAGAGAACTTGTATCTCCTGGGGAAAGTAAACAACCACACCCCACCTTCTATACCATATAAACAGCTTAACCCCGGATTTTCCAGCTTAAACCATTCACCATCTACCATTCCCCTCTACACTTCAAAGCAACATCTACAAAACCCCACCATGGACCCCTCCAAAATCAAGATCCCCCCAATGAAAGACCAAACCGTGGACAACATCACCGCGAACGTAATCACCATCAACAGCCTCTGCCCAGACCCACGCCTAAAATACATCCTCGAACGCCTAGTAACGCACCTCCACGACTTCGCGCGCGAAACCCGTCTCAGCAGCGCCGAATGGATGACCGGCCTCAACTTCCTAACAGAAGTCGGCCAAGCCTGTACAGACGTACGACAAGAATACATCCTGCTGTCCGACGTCCTAGGCCTCTCGATCCTCGTCGACTCAATCGACCACCCCAAGCCGAAGGGCTCCACAGAGGGAACCGTGCTGGGCCCGTTCCACACGCACGACGCCGAGGAAATGCCCGCCGGCGCGTCCATGTCGCATGATCCGCACGGCGAGCCGTTGCTGGTTGTTTGCTCGCTGCGGGATTTGCAGGGGGCGCCGGTGCACGACGTCAAGGTCGATATCTGGGAGACGGATTCGACGGGCCATTATGATGTCCAGTATGCTGGGAGGGTGGGGCCGGATGGGAGGTGTGTTATGCGCTCGGATCAAGACGGGGTGTTTTGGTTTATGGCGATTACGCCGGTGCCGTATCCGATTCCGCATGATGGGCCTGTTGGGAGGTTGCTGGAGATGTTGCGGCGGCATCCGTATCGGCCTTCGCATATGCACTTTATGTTTGAGAAGGAGGGGTTTGACCATTTGGTTACGTATGTTGGGCTGTTGCCCTTTTTGACTTGTGTGGGCTATGGTATGCTAATCTGCGTTCTAGCGCTCTCTATCTCCGAAATGACCCTTATGAAACATCTGATGCGGTCTTCGGCGTTAAGGATTCCTTGACTGTAGAAATTGGTAAGGCGGACGCGGAGATCGCTAGGAAATATAATGTCCCCGAGGGCCATGCTCTCCTTACATATGACTTTGTGCTTGTCTCCGACGAAGAGACGAAAGAGTTGCGTGCGCATAACTCCAAGGTCGCGCTGGACAAGCTAGGACGGAAAGTCAAGATTGTCAATGGGCTGCCTGTGCCGGATCTGGATTAAATGCTATATGGAAAAACAGGTATAAGTGAGAAATACATCTTGACGTGTATAACCGATTCTTCCGATACTGCCTGGTTTTCGTTCTAGTAAGAAGAAGATTAGAATTGCACGTGAATGCAAGATCTCAAGTTAGCCCGGAACTGAGACTGCCAAATATAGTCCGAATATCTGTATCCTATTCGTATTCCGCTGCTTCTGGTCTCGATTGGAATATGTAACATATTCTCAGCGATGGCTGGTGCTCTTGTTGATCCAAGTTGTTTCTCGAGTCTCCACGGTACGACGACCGGATCAGCGAGGATTTAACAGTTTCATCTATGCTATCTGATGTAGTGTGATAGCTTTGTACGACTCGTACAACCGAAGATCAAGAAAGTCGAGGGGTTCGACGAGGGAGGCCTTCCTATATAGGTACATCACCATTGTGTGATCGAGCATCTGCATTGGACTCCGATTTCCTGTCGATAACGGCATTATGCGTTCCACTTACCTTTTCTTATCTGTGGCAGCTTCATTGGCCTCGGCCTTTGTCATCCTAGATGAGAGTATCCTCGCGGAGATAGTCTCTGAGACTCGACCAGCCACGAATGATCCATCTCAAGCAGATGCCGAGATGAGCCTGCTGGGCATCTCCCCGGATGAACATAGAGGCTGGGGAAGAGACGGTGACTGGCGCGATGATGATGAATATCCGGAGCATGGCGATTGGCTTGGCTACGGGCGATGGCCCGGTGGTGATCGGCCCAGACATGGGGGATGGCCCGAACACGGAGAATGGCCTGGATACCGAGGTGATTGCGAAGACAGACACGACCGCGACGGAAGACCATGGGACAGATACCGACACCGTCCACACCGGCCAATCGATGCTTGTCCAGGCCCGTTCTGCCACGCGGACAAGACGACATGGGAGCTCATCAGAGAAAGCGAGCATACATCCCGACTCGCCGAGCTCATCGCCGACGACAAAGACCTGATTGATATCCTAAATGGCACGACGGCAAACCACACCTTCTTCGCGCTGACGAACCGTGCCCTAGAGAGACTTCCACGGGGAAGAAATGGCCCCAGTCCGAAGCTCATGTCCAAGTTGCTGCGGTATCATATCCTGCCCGGTCAATTTTCAATCGAGCATATTGCTGGCCACGGGACGCTACCGACGAAGCTGACAGAGCCAGCTCTGGAATCGACTCTACCACAGAGGATCGTTGTCCGAGAGCACCAGAACGGAGTGATGTTGAACCGGAGGAGTAGGGTTGTGGCAGCCGACATGGTGAGTAAAGCATCAATTTATGGCACACATCGACAGATACTAACCTCACCTAAGAAATCCAAAAACGGAATAATCCACATAATAACCAGTCCCCTCCACCCACCCCGAGAGACACGCACGATACTGCACCAAGCACCAACCGACTTCAGCACCTTCACATTGGCGCTAGCTCGCACGAAACTCGCCCACAATCTTGACCCGGCGCAGCGACAGGGCGGCACAACCTTCGTGCCCACGAACGTCGCTTTCAGACGGCTCGGAGAGAAGGCTAATCGGTTTCTTTTCTCGCGGCGGGGTGAGGGGTGCCTGCGTACGTTGATGCAGTATCATATTGTGCTAAATCAGACGTTTTACTCGGATGTCTTGTATAGTAGTCTTGGAACGTCCCATGGGTTGTTTTCAGGTCGCCATGGTGGGCATGCGCATGAGGGCGAGGGGAAGGGTGGACGTGGGGATGGACTAGAGGAGGACTATGCGAATGTGCGGCTTGTGACTTTGTTGAAGAGGGAGTTGAGGGTTGATGTTAAGAAGGGGTTTGGTGAGGTTGATATGCGGGTTAATGGGTTTGGTAGAGTTGGACGAATGGATTTGTTGGCGAGGGATGGCGTGGTGCATGTTTTGGATCGGGTATTGATTCCCCCCAGGAAGATTCAGGATCAAAATGAAGATGAAGATGGGGAACTGATCATTGAGGAGCTTGTAGGGAGATTGGATGGTTGCGTCTACGGGATGACTCGAGGAGAATTGTGAGAGATGTCTACAGGCTTACGACCAAGGAAAGCAATTTGAATTTCTTTATTCCTATGTTTGTATTTCAATCACAGTGGCGATATCGGTGCTTGCAAATTAAAGCAAAAGATGTAACCCTTGGGTTAAACTATGAGACAAACATAGCAAGCTGCGATATCTTTACGAGTACCATGTGAGAACTTTCGAAAACTTGCTAGTGCATGCGTCTAGCAGGCTTCATCAGAGCCTGGAAGGAAGACTCAAGAGCCTTCTTAACCTCCTTGTAGCTGACAATGAAGGAACTCTGCTCGTCGCGACTGACTAGATGGATCTTTTCGTCAGTTCCCGCATCGAGCTTGTTCAAGCAAGTCAAGACATGGCCAAGATCAACCGCCGGATCACCTTGGCCATCCACCGAGTGGAAGACGTAATCGCGGAAAAGCTTTAGGAAGTAGCGTTCGCCGCTCTCCGACCAGCGCTGGTCAAGTTCATACTCAGGGCGTTCATTGACGAACCCGAGTTTGGCCATCAGGCGCACAAGTCGTGCATTCTCCAACTCACGGCCGAGATCAGAGTTCAGCTGATCATCGAGGTGGAGTGCCGAATCAAAAGTTGACATCAGCTGGGATGAGATGCCAGTGATAAAAGTGTCGATGCTTCGCTCCTGATCCTTCTGCAGACTGTTCAACAGCCAGAACACAGAGCTCTTCAACTGCGGGCTGTAGGCGCGAGTGAAATGCTCCATGGCCTTGGTTGGGTTGTGGATGACAGTGGGTGAGTTGGCGCCAAGGGTGACGATCATTTGGCCGAAGTTGACCAGATCTTGTCGCTGGAGGTCAGCCATAGTCCGCTGGGTATCGAATTGCACCACATCAAGAATAGCGCAGGCGTTGATGCGGACACGGGTCTTAGCAGTAAGCAAAACCTTGCTAGGCTCGAGCACTCGGGCAGCAAGACCATTGGCGTGGATCGCCTTGAGTCCATTGGCGATCTGGGTCATGTAGCCCCAGAGAATCTGCTCAGGAATATGAGCATTGGTCTGACGGCCTGGGAAGCGGGTTCCAGCGCTGAGATGCTGGTCCGCAAGGGTCTTGGACAGTGGGTGATAGTCGGTCACAAAGATCAAAGAACTGTCTTGGAAGCTGCGGCTGGTGAACGCATCGTGAATGGTCACAACACTGGCGTTGCAGATACGCTTCCAGGCTTGCACGGAACGGATAGCCCTCTCATTGGTCAAGCGATAACCTACACGGTTAGTTTGGAGCTACAAAAGAGACGGGAAGATTGTCATACCCTCAAGTCTGCGAAGAGCATAATAGATGCCATCTTTGCTAGACTGGGCCTTGTAGATCCAGCTCGGGTAGCCAAAGATTGCAGCATTCTTCTGATGACTGAGATCTAGAGGGACGAGGGAATGGAAGTAGTCGACCTGGGCAGGGAGTTGGGTGTCTTCAAGTTTGTCAGCATGAGTAAAAAATTATTATTGGGTGATGTCTAACATACTAGGGAGAGTTTGTAAAGTAGCTGCAGATTTCTTCTGCAGTTCTTCACGCAAGTCGTTAGGAATAAAAAGATCATGAACGTTGCGCTGGTATCCCAATGTGTTCTGGCTGTGAGGGCCAATTGGGGCATAAAGATGGTACTGGATCTGTTGGGCAGTTGGAGATCAGTCAAAGAAACAAAGAGGATCCAATGGAAACCAACGTACCGGCTGCTGGAATCCAGTTTGGTTTGCAAAGAAAGCACCTCCCATGGCGCCAGTATGGTCGTGGGAGTAAGGATTGGCAGAAACAGGGCCAACGGCACCGGGAGTCATGGCAGTTGGGGTAGTAACAAAAGGATCAAATGCACCCGTGGGGGTGATGCCTCCGTTTCCATTACCCTGAAGAGGCGTCTGAGTAGGAAAATTAGCACGATTGCTCAGAATACTGTTGAACCACCCAGGGCTTTCAGGCTGAGGCGGATGAGAGGTGAAGTATCGGGGAGAATCAGAAGATTCAGGATCGAATTCAGATGCCATGGCAGACAAGCCACCTAGCACCATCGTGATGATAGAGATGATGATAACAATAGGGCTAGTGCAGGTAAAGAGGGATGGGTAAGAAGACAAGAGGTAGAGGGGAGGAAATCGATGCGAATCGAGTGATAAGGGCAGGGACGACTGACCACGTGCTCAAATCCCTGGGGAATAAATTCCTGTACATCGGCCACCGCCCAGTCTTGCACTGCTTCTGACCGTGTTGTTGGTGTACTCGTGTTTGAACCTTTTTCTGACGTCAGTGAATGCTTTTGGAACCTCCCTCCCTCTCCACATGGAGCACATACGTGATGAGGTTGTTCGAGGTTGAAAAGGAGCTGCACTGGCAGCTTTGGGAGATATAGCTGTGGACTTTTTTGGTGCTGATACACCATTCCCAGACAGCAAGGATGGAGTGAAGCTAGGTGAGTCGACATTGAACCGCTTCTTGCTATCAAACGAAACAGTCCTTGTTAGCAAAATATATCCAGTTGTCGTATAGAGACCAAGTGTTCATCGCACCTATCCGACTGATTTGCATTGAGCTTCGACGGGTCATGATTGAAAGCACAGCCTGGATACAAAAGTTCCAAATCAGCTTCACCACCCACGCTGGCCGTGATTCAGGTTCGCAATACCTTTGTCTTCATAGCGGCATCGCCCATAGATGGTCACATTACGGCACAATGTGTCTTTCGCATTCTCTATCGGGCAAAATCATTGTTATCAGCAACTCGGTCCATCTCGAATTCATCCACCTCCAGCTTGCCCATCTCAGTCCTAAAATGGAACTGAAATGCCAGCCTTGACTTCGAATCACACTCACCACGGCTCTTCATTTTCGGTGATCCTGTCGTCCGACGAGCATCCTCCAATGGAGGCTTTCCGGCAGACGCCATGATATCTAGCTGATACCCACTTTGTTGGTGCGGATCAGCGCAAAAAGATCCCCATTGAAACCGGACTCGGTAGGGAACAAAGAATGCTATCGGGTGAAAACCGCATTCCCCTGTTTCGATTCTAAAGCAAGTCACCTACGGTCCGCGCAATTGGCGGCGGGTCAATTCCGGGAGAGCCCACGGACGTCGGGCGGTATCTCAGCCGATAACAATAGGCATGAATGGGATATAAGGATAAGACCGAAGTCGTCTCTCCTCCCAAGGAATGATTAAAAGCGACAGAACTGATGGAAACGAAGACGCGGGGCGAGAACCGAACTCGAGCGAAGGGGGATAAGCACGGACCAGGCGGTCAGGACATCAATGCGAGAGCTTCTTGAGGCCACTTGAGCCTCGACGTCACGTCGTTCTTACCATTTACGCATGAGAAATTCTGCACGTGCTTAATGACCGACCTCAAATGATCTTCCGCTTCATGGCTGTTCCTTTCTCTCTCTTTTGATACCACCTCTATCCCTGAGTTTATGGCTTACGGCCCTTCTACAACAATATGTCACAACCCGAGGTTGACCTGGACGGGCTTTCTGATAGCGAGAAGTCTACGCTAGAAATGTACATGGCTGTCACCAGTCAGGAACCTTCCGAAGCAATTCCGCTACTACGTCGGTCACAATGGAATGTGCAGGTTGGTCTATCTTCCCCGACTTCCAATCAAGCGTACGAGCGTTTAACTGATCCCCGCATGATAGATTGCCATATCCAAGTTTTTTGATGGCGAAGGCCCAGATCCCGTTGAAGAAGCCCGCGCTGCCTTGGATCGCCCCCCTCCCCCCCAACCCAATCGCCGAACCCAGAATTTAATGACCGACGATTTGACCGAACACTTGTCGCAAGTTGCTCGTGCCACAGCTACAGATTTGGCGCCACGAGTTAACTTACAGCCGGCAGACCAGCCAACCTACCGACCTCCATTTATTCTTAGCCTACTTCTCACTCCATTTAATTTGGTATACCGAATTCTTTGCAGTTCATTCCGCCTATTTGGTGTCCTCTTCCCTTTTTTGCCACGCTTGTTTAACAGGACAGCGAACCCCGCGCTGCAAGGTGCTCGCCGGAATACCACTGGCCGTCGATCCCTCGGTCCCAAAGATACTGCCGCTCGCTTTATCCGCGAGTTCGAAGAAGAATATGAATCTATCCCGATTCCATTCCTGGAGAACGGATACAACATGGCGCTGGAGAAAGCCCATCGCGACTTGAAGTACCTCCTGGTCATTCTCTTATCTCCAGAGCACGACGATACGGACAGCTGGGTCCGGGATACTCTGCTGGCACCTGAGGTCGTAGAATTCATCAATGACCCCCAGAACAACCTCCTGGTGTGGGGCGGCAACGTGCGAGATTCCGAAGCATACCAAGTCGCCAACTCATTGAAATGCACCAAATTCCCCTTTGCAGCGGTCATCGTCCATACACCAAATGTTTCATCAACCGCGATGTCTGTTGTAGGACGGATCGCAGGTCTCACGACGCCATCCGAGGTCGTGAACAAGCTCCGGACAGTCGTGACATCTAACAGCGAGCCCCTGGAGCGACTCCGATCTTCACGCGCGGAGCAACAAGCCTCGCGCAGCCTCCGCGAAGAGCAAGACTCAGCCTACGAGCGGTCGCTGGCGATCGACCGTGAACGGGCGCGCCAGCGCCGGGAAGCGGAGTTGGCACGTCAACGCGAAGAACAGGAAGCCGCTGACCGACAGGCGGCTGAAGAGCAACGGCTCCGCGATCTCGCCCAGTGGAAGCTTTGGCGCGGGCAATCGCTTAGCGCGGAGCCCGGGCCGGATGTCAAAGATGCCGTTCGTATTAGCGTGCGGCTCCCGTCCGGCGAGCGCATCATGCGTAAGTTTGCGCCAGATGCAGACATTGAAGAGATCTACGCGGTGGTTGAGTGCTACGAGATCTTACAGGAGCAGGATACAGAGCGTCCTGTGGTGAGTGCGCCGGAGGGGTTTGTGCACCACTACGGATTTCGACTGGTCTCACCGATGCCTCGAGTAGTGTATGCTGTTGATGAGGGAGGGTCGATCAGAGAGAAGATTGGGCGTGGCGGTAATCTGTTGGTGGAACCAATCGACGAGGATGAAGACGATGCAGATGATGACGAGGTGGTGACCGACATGTCTTGAATGTGACTGGTCTCCATAATTGGGTTCCTTGGAAGACCAAGACTGACACACCGCTGTTGTTTTCTTAACAATATCCAATGTACAATTTAGATTATTATGATTCAATATTTCGCTTTCCCTGCGTGGCCAACTTATAACTGTACATTTTGGTCACATTTTGAAATTGTCTGCTAACCGAAGGCATATTCCGTATTTAGCACGGCGTAAGCGTAAGCATTGCAGCCTAGCGTCTGGCTAGGCTCGTCCAAGGATCAACGAACCATCATGCCGCATAACAGCCCCCATGCAAGGGTTCATCAGCACGTATCTGACAGTGCCACATGTTGGTACGTCAGATTTGCAAGGAATTTCATAACCGGAGACATGACTCAGAAGAAACCAGCCGGATTTGGTCCATTCCTTCCCAACCTTGGAAGATACATATACATCCATGTAATTCGGGGTGAGGAGGCCAAGTACGGGGAGTTAGGGGACGGAGATAAGATGGAATTAACAATTGCCCCAGTGGGTGGAAGTGACATGCGATTTAGCGTTCTAAGATCCATGGATCCCCCAGGAATAGCTGAGTCAGCCCCGCTCGGATGCATCGCACCCGAGCATCCGAGCCCTGTGTGGGACGGATAGCGGTGGTCCCGGGCTGCTGAGTCTAGAAACCTTGTTTTCCCACCTGGCATGGACACGTGTAGGATGTATGAAGAACATGGCAGGTACATTATTATGCCTGGTAGGTAATCTTTGTTTGGCTGTCGTGCGGAAGTACCAGGTACATGCGGTGTAGAATCATCCATCGCATGCTCTACCTTACCTCTGTGGACAACAAATTCAAGGAAAATGGCGACAGTTTCTTGGCAATCAGCCACTAAGGACTAGCCAAAGTCTCAGAAAAATACGAAACCAAAATTCGTGATTGGAATCTCCGGAAAGTCACCAGCTCCGCCCCGGAGTCAGTTTCGACGGGAGTCCCCGTTTTTTATTTTCTTTCCGGGCAAAGGATACAGCTTTTCCGAGTCCCGATCTCTAGATCTTTTGAATCCTTGGGATTTTGTGTCTTTTCATATCCGTACTTAATTCAAATTCTTCGCTGATTGCCTTCCTTCGTTATTCTATTGACTAATATTCGTACACCCTCTCTCTATACTCATCCCGTTGATGGTTCCCTCCCCTATCCGTCTTTTCTAGGGATTACTACCCCACTTAATCAGTTCCATCCCCTATTCGACAGTGACCGTGCTGGAAGGTCATCATGTCGCTCCTAGGGACATTGAATCCCAGCACCCAGGACGGAGAGGATTCCCATTCCGCCAACATGGAAGCTCGCCGCCATGACCCCACCGCCAGCGTGAGCACCGATGACACCGCTAATGAGAAGGGCGAGATTGGCAACGAGGACTACACCGAGGCCGAGGTCACTCGCCTGGCCCGGCAACTCACCCGCCAGTCAACACACTTCTCTGTCTCAACCCAGAATGCGGAGAACCCTTTCGTCGAAGTCCATGAGGACTCAACCCTCAATCCTCACAGTGAGAATTTCAACCCCAAGAATTGGATGAAGAATCTCCTTGCCATCCAATCTCGCGACCCGGAACGATACCCGAAGCGTCAGGCGGGCCTGGCCTTCAGAAACCTCAGTGTGCACGGATTTGGCAGCCCCACCGATTACCAAAAGGATGTGGCCAACTCCATTCTGCAAATCGGCGCCGTGTTCCGTGCGATGACCGGCACTGGCAAGCAGAAGATTCAGATCCTCCGCGACTTCGATGGCCTCGTTAAGAGCGGCGAGATGCTGGTCGTTCTCGGCCGTCCTGGATCTGGCTGTTCGACTTTCTTGAAGACTATTGCAGGAGACTTGAACGGCATCTTCAAGGATGGTAACTCTCATATGAACTACCAAGGAATCTCCGACAAGCAGATGCACAGCCAGTTCCGCGGTGAGGCCATCTACACCGCTGAAACCGATGTGCATTTCCCTCAGCTTTCGGTTGGAAATACCTTGAAGTTCGCTGCTCTCGCTCGCGCCCCGCGCAACCGTTTGCCGGGCGTCACTCGCGATCAATACGCAGAGCATATGCGTGATGTCGTCATGGCTATGCTTGGTCTTTCGCACACTATCAACACCCAGGTCGGTAACGATTTCATTCGTGGTGTCTCCGGTGGTGAGCGGAAGCGTGTCAGTATCGCCGAGGCCACCCTCTGCGGCAGCCCTCTCCAATGCTGGGATAACAGTACTCGTGGTTTGGACAGTGCCAATGCTCTGGAGTTCTGTAAGACATTGAACTTGATGTCTAAGTACTCGGGCACTACCTGTGCCGTTGCTATCTACCAGGCATCCCAGAGTGCCTACGATGTTTTCGACAAAGTGACTGTGCTATACGAGGGCCGACAGATCTACTTCGGCCGTACCACCGAGGCCAAGGAATTCTTCACCAACATGGGCTTCGAGTGTCCCGAGCGCCAGACTACCGCTGATTTCCTGACCTCGCTTACGAGCCCCGCTGAGCGAGTCGTCAAACCTGGCTTTGAGAACGTCGTTCCCCGTACCCCCGATGAGTTCGCCACTGCTTGGAAAAACAGTGCTGCGTACAAGGAGCTTCTGAAGGAGATTGCCGAGTACGATGAGCAGTATCCCATTGGCGGCGAGTCCTACGAGAAATTCGTCGAGTCTCGCAAGGCTATGCAGTCGAAGAGGCAGCGTGTCAAGTCTCCATTCACCCTATCAGTCGCCGAGCAGGTCCAAATCTGTGTGACCCGTGGTTTCCAGCGTTTGAAGGGTGACTACAGTCTGACTATATCCGCCTTGATTGGAAACACCATTATGGCATTGATTATTGGTTCGGTCTTCTTCCAGTTGCCTGGCGACGTGACCAGTTTCTACTCTCGCGGTGCCCTTCTCTTCTTCGCCGTTCTTCTCAACTCGTTCTCCAGTGCTCTAGAGATTCTCACTCTCTACGCGCAACGTCCTATTGTCGAAAAGCAAGCCCGTTACGCTATGTATCATCCGTTTGCCGAAGCAATCTCGTCAATGCTGTGTGATATGCCGTACAAAATCACCAATGCCTTCACCTTCAACATCACACTCTATTTCATGACTGGTCTTCGCCAAACCGGCGGCGCTTTCTTCACCTTTCTGCTCTTCTCTTTCGTGACGACCATGACCATGTCCATGGTCTTCCGTACCATCGCTTCTTACTCGCGTACTTTGTCGCAGGCTCTAGTGCCCGCCGCCATCCTGATTCTCGGTCTGGTAATCTACACTGGCTTCACTATACCAACCCGCAACATGCTTGGCTGGTCTCGCTGGATGAACTACATTGACCCGATTGCTTATGGTTTCGAAACCTTGATCGTGAACGAATTCCACGGTCGCGATTTCCCATGCAAAGCGGGTTCTTTCATCCCGGTGGGTGAATCCTACACGGATGTCGGTCGGTACAACAAGATCTGCGGAGCGAAAGGAGCTGTGGCTGGCCAGGACTATATCAGCGGCGAGGCCTACTACACTGCAAGCTTCCAGTACTCTCACGGCCACAAGTGGAGAAATCTGGGAATCATGATTGGTTTCATGATTTTCTTCATGTGCACCTACCTCATCGGCACCGAATACATTTCCGAGTCCAAGTCCAAGGGTGAGGTTCTGCTTTTCCGTCGCGGCTACGCCCCCAAGAAGGTCGGCAGCTCTGAAGATGATGTCGAGCAAACACACAGCGTGTCCCCTGCCGAGAAGAAGGATGGCGCTAGCTACGGCGAAGAAACCACTGCCGCAATCCAGAGACAAACTGCTATCTTCCAATGGCAAGACGTGTGTTACGACATCCACATCAAGAAAGAGGAACGTCGCATTCTCGACCACGTTGACGGCTGGGTTAAGCCCGGTACCTGCACTGCTCTCATGGGTGTTTCTGGAGCCGGTAAAACCACTCTCTTGGATGTGCTTGCTACGCGCGTGACAATGGGGGTTGTTTCTGGTGAAATGTTGGTTGATGGCCGTCCTTGCGACCACTCCTTCCAACGTAAGACTGGCTATGTCCAACAGCAGGATCTCCATCTCCACACTACCACGGTCCGCGAAGCTCTTCGCTTCAGTGCTATTCTCCGTCAACCGCGTCACGTCTCTCGCCAGGAAAAACTCGACTACGTCGAGGAAGTGATCAAGCTTCTTGGAATGGAACACTATGCGGATGCCGTAGTCGGTGTCCCCGGTGAAGGTTTGAATGTTGAGCAGCGCAAGCGTCTTACTATTGGTGTTGAGCTAGCTGCCAGGCCACAACTGCTTTTATTCCTGGACGAGCCTACTTCCGGTCTTGACAGTCAAACTTCTTGGTCTATCTTGGATCTCATTGATACCTTGACTAAGCACGGTCAGGCTATTCTCTGCACTATTCACCAGCCGTCTGCTATGCTCTTCCAGCGATTTGACCGTCTCCTATTCCTCGCCAGGGGCGGTAGGACTGTCTATTTCGGAGAAATTGGCGAAAAATCTTCTACGCTCTCTAACTACTTTGAACGAAATGGTGCGCCCAAGCTGTCGCCTGAAGCCAATCCTGCCGAATGGATGCTTGAGGTCATTGGAGCTGCCCCCGGAACCCACAGTGAGATCGACTGGCCTGCCGTGTGGCGCGATAGCCCTGAGCGCAAGGAAGTGCAAAATCACCTCGCCGAGCTTAAGTCCAGCCTCTCTCTGAAACCCGTTGCCACAACCGACAACGATCCTACCAGCTTCCACGAATTCGCCGCACCGTTCAGTGTTCAACTCTGGCAGTGTCTCCTCCGCGTGTTCAGCCAGTACTGGCGAACTCCAGTCTACATCTATTCCAAGATTGCGCTATGTACCTTGACTGCGCTCTACGTCGGCTTCTCCTTCTTCCACGCCCAGAACAGTATACAAGGACTGCAGAATCAAATGTTCAGTGTCTTCATGTTGATGACAGTCTTCGGCAACTTGGTGCAACAGATCATGCCGCACTTTGTCACCCAACGCTCCCTCTACGAAGTCCGTGAACGCCCCTCCAAATCATACTCCTGGCAAGCCTTTATGTCCGCAAACATCATTGTCGAACTCCCCTGGAACGCCCTCATGTCGGTCCTCATCTTCGTCTGCTGGTACTACCCCATTGGACTGCAACGCAACACCAGCGCCGATGATCTCCACGAGCGCGGCGCACTGATGTGGCTTCTCGTCTTGACCTTCATGATCTTCACCTGCACCTTCGCCCACATGATGATTGCTGGTATCGAGCTAGCCGAAACAGGTGGCAATATCGCCAACTTGCTATTCTCCCTCTGTCTGATCTTCTGTGGTGTCCTCGCGACCCCGGACCAAATGCCCCGCTTCTGGATCTTCATGTACCGCCTCTCACCATTCACCTACCTCGTCTCCGCAATGCTGTCGACCGGCACATCCGGCACAAACGTCGTCTGCGAGCCCGTCGAGATGCTCCACTTCGAGCCCCTTGCCGGCGATACCTGTTACCAATACATGAGCGCCTACATGGAAGTTGCTGGTGGCTACCTCCAGAACGCGAATGCCACTAGCGATTGCAGTTTCTGCAGCGTCGACAAGACCGATACTTTCCTCAAGGGCGTGCTGAGTTACTACAGCGACGCATGGCGCAACTTCGGCATCATGTGGGCGTACATCATCTTCAACATATTTGCTGCTGTTGGTATCTACTGGCTTGCTCGTGTGCCCAAGGGAACCCGCAGCAAGAAGACTAAGACTGCTTGATCTTTTATCATCTCTTGGGTTCTTTTCTTTTCTCTTCTTCTCTTCTTGACACTTAACGGGCTTCCGATGGCTACTGTTTCTCCTAAAAGATACTCTGCATTAGACCGCCATCTCTAATCCTCCGCTCTTCTTGTTGCACATTATTTTTTTTACATATTACACTTGGTCTTGCAGATAGGGATGCCCGAGATAATACATACACTAGCATAGAGCCTCTTGTTCAATTACATTGTCTACTACATTCCCAATTACTATCTCTTGCACAGTAGACCTCGTTCTCAACAAGATATCTTCATATGTAACCAGGAAAAGTCCGGAGATTATGATAGTGATAGTATACAGTTAGACATTAAGCAATGTTTGTTATATGAGTTATATGAGTCGCCAACCGCAGCACAAAAGAAGTAAAAGAGTGCATTAAACCAAAAAAAATTACAAGAAACCCCACGGGGATAAAAAAAAGACAAGGCAAAAGAACAAAAAGCATATAAACCAACAAAGCAAACCTCACCACGTAAAAGCCTCCTCCGCAAAATCAACCACAGCCCCCTTCCCAATCCTCTCCCTCGCCGCCGAGCGAACCTCATCCGCAAAAGCGCCCGGTCCACAAACACTAACAATCGTGGCGCCGGTCCGCCCGGGCAAAATCTCATCAAGAACCACATCCGGCCTACACCTCCCAGAATGCATAAGCACCGTAGCGGACGGACTGACGATATCAGCGGCGCGTCGCGGCTTCGAGACGAAAAGCTTCACAACGAGAATATCGCGGCGGTTCGGCAGGCGCAGGATCTGGTCCATGTAGTTGCTCACCCAGGTGAGGTGGTCTGTCGATCGAACCGACCAGATCAGGTAGACTTTGCGGGTTGCGGCGGTGTTCTGCGCGGCGGCAGTGACGAGCGCGCGGGTCTGCAGCAGGTGGTGGGTTATTCCGGCGCCGGCGCTGAAGAGCACTGCTGTGCCGTAGCTGGAGAAGTTTGCTGGGTTTGAGCCGTAGGGGCCTTCGATGAAGCCGGCGAGAGTGAGGGTTTTGGAGGGGGCTGCGTTGGCGAGGTTGTAGAGGCGGCGGGTCATGCCCTTTTGGGCGCCGACTATGAGGGAGACTTGCGTGCTGGGTTTGGAGGGCTTGGTGGGGAGGTCGGATTGCTTCTCAACGTCATTGTATCGCTTGTCTTGTGTTGGGGAGGGGGAGAATGTCGATGTGCTGCTTGTGCTTGGTTCGGCCCATGCGATTGAGAATGGGTGCGACATCCACCAGGAGATCCTGGGGATGTAGGCGAAGACGTGGCAGCCTGGGTCGATGTTCACGACTTTTGGGAGGTGGAAGGTCACGCGGCAGGCTTCGCCTGGGAGGGCTTGCACGACCATTTTTGTTGTGCCGGAGGTTGAGATGTTGAGGTGGATGAGGCGGAAGAGGCGCGCGAGTCGGTCGCCTATCCAGATTCCGGCTATCGCTTTCGCCCAGCTTTGCTGCGGGAGGTTGTCTATCTGCAGGTGCAGGTACACGCCTAGGAAGGCGAACACTGCGGCGAGTTGGTGCAGGTGTAGGAAGGTCTCATAGAAGGCGTGGCGGATGGGTGAGGGGGAGTGCAGGCAGAGGAAGACCATTGCGACTGTGCCGATGAGGCCCCAGAGGAAGAAGGGGGTTTCACGTACGCGAGCGAGCATACGGGTGAAGTCTTCCTCGTCAACGGCGTTGACGGCCCATGCGGCTGTGTGTGCGACTGATTCAATGACAACGATGCGGCCCAGCCAGCGGTGGAGGAGGTTATATGTGTCAAAGCTGATGTGGAGGAGTGGGATCAAGGGGTTGTTTCGGCCGGCGAGGAGGAAGAGCGGGATCATGTTGAGGACGGCCAGCGTCCCGGATCGGCCGCGCAGTTCGGCGACCAAGGCCGCCTTGTGGTTGACGCTATAGTCCAGGATGAAGCAGTATGCGACTTGGCTGGCGAAGTAGAGTGCGACCAAGATAGTCTGCAGCCGGGAGGGTAAAGTGCCGACATTGACAGCGGAAGAAAGCTGTAACTCTCGATTGTGTCTCTTGCTTCCTAATGGGGCGTATAGGATGTATTTCTTGATGTTTGACCACCATGTTGATTGTTCCTGGGCCCAGAAGGTCTGCTGGTGTTTGCTTGCGCTAGTTGCGGTGATTTGGCGGAGATATGCGTGGCTGATCTGGGCGACTCGGCCACAGAACAGTGCGAATGCCACGACACACAGGGAACCGTAGATGATCCGGGTAAAGATCACATCGCGAGGGACGTCCACGCCACCCAGCCCCCTTGAGTACTCATATATGTATGTGGCGTTTGACCCGTACCCTCGTGCCGCGATATGCGGATGGGTTGCTGCCATTGAACAGGCGCAGATATCGAAGAGAGAAAGAAGTTGCGGTCTGGGCAGCAAACATGCAAGGCTGTGCTGTCGATGTTGCACAACCGCCTAGTCGATATAGCAATGTGTATGTGTATGTTTCAAGCAGCTGCTCAACAGCCGAGATCAAAATGTAAAGATTGAGATGTTGGATGTGGGCGTTTGCGGGGAATCGAAGTCGAATACGGTGGAAAGATCAGATGAAATGGATTATAAACAGGGTTGAAGAAAGTGCGTCGATATAGATGGAGACCTCTTTGATTGTTTCCGACAAAGACAATGTCTTATAACGCGAGCATTGTGGCTGGTTCTGTTTGGGGTTGACAATGAACAATGAGGTTTGTCTCAAAGTGAATGACCAGGTTGAAGTCAACAAAGCGAGCCAAAACAGCCCTGCTCTTCTGGAATTTGTGAGAAACTGGCACGTCACCAAGAATCGACGTTGGAGATTCACTTTCAGGTATCTGGCATGCAGGCAAGGGGCACCTTTTTCCTTTTTAAGAATGAAATTGGACAATATAGAGGCAGTCCAGACCAGACAATATAGTAAAGAGAGTGTATTTAACAATCGAGACCAGCCGATTGTCTTCTAAGACAAAAGAGTGCGAATAATGGAAGAAATGGAAGTGGAAGAAGCCTCCCTGAAAGAGTTTTGAGAAGAAGCATGGACCCCGATGGACATATCTTCCGCAAAGCCCCTATATGGTCTGATTTGCAACTGTTCGAGGCGTTTAAATTGCCGAAAAACCTATCGGGATAGCTCCTTGGTGACACTAAAGACGCCGGTGTTTCTAACAAGCCTTAGCGGCCCCCTGAGATAGGTGTGATTTGCTGATGATTTGCTGATGACTTGCTGACGATCCTTGTTGATCCTAGTTCGAGTCTGGGCGTGACGCCTTGGACGATAGTGTATGAAGTCTGAGACATTATTAATTATGCCACTTTCACAAGCCGACATGTGCCATTCGTCTCTCCAGGGCTGAGGTGGTTTGACTGTAAGACATTGGCGTTGTCGAGGTTTCAAGTGGACGCACGGGCCACTGTTACCTCTTCCCTCTTACAGGCAATAACCCGATAGTTAACTAGTCTGGCAATAGTCTCATGACACCTGACAAGCCAAAAGAATTCATTTATATGTGCAATTTATCGAAGTAATGTACGTTATATTCATTTCCAAACATTTACCGTCCCATCCATCCACCGTCAACTGTGAGGATCTCTCCAGAAACATAGCTGCTAGCCCGACTAGCCAGATACACCACGGCACCCTTGAAATCCTCGGGGTTTCCCCATCGGCCAGCAGGAATACGGGCCATGATACCGGCGTTGCGGTCCGCATCGTTGATAAGGGCGGTGTTCATATCGGTGGCAATATAACCGGGCGCGATGGCGTTGACATTGATTCCCTTGGCGACCCAGTCATTCGATAGAGCTTTGGTCAACTGCCCAATGCCACCCTTGGATGCCGCATAGGCGGGGACTGTAATTCCACCCTGGAAGGTGAGCAGAGAGCCGACATTAATGATGGAGCCTCGGCGACCCTGTGGGAATTCAGAGGCGTCGCGAGCCAGGAGGTATGCGGCAAATTCTCGGCACATGATGAACACGGAGGACAGGTTGATTTCCAAGACCTATACATTATTCCACGAATTAGATATAGTGTTTCAAGGGGGCAATTTATATTGCTTTATCGACTCACCTCGTCCCAGTCCTCGTCCGGGAACTTTTCGGCCGGGTGTCGCCGTTGGATCCCTGCACAGTTCACCAAAATCTCCGGCTTCAGTCCTTGGCTAAGCAATGCGGGGATGATTGCTTTGACGGCTTTCCGATCCCCGAGCTCGGCGACATGGATCCATGCCTTACGGCCGATGCGATTAATGATCTCATCTTTGGTTGCTGTGTTGCTGGTGTCTCTCTATTAGTATATTAGCATGTGCTCTCCAATCTTTGCGTGCAAATAACTCACCTGAACCAAGATAACATCGGCGCCGGCTTCAGCCAAGGCAAAGGCCATAGCTTGGCCAATACCTCGAGTTCCACCAGTGACGAGGGCGGTTTTCCCGCTTAGGGAGAATAGGGACATCACGTCTGCCATTGTGAATGTGAATATGAATATGAAAAGGAATCAAATCCAAAATAAAAGAACCAAAGAAGCAAAGAAGCAAATGGGAGGAGCTCCAAATAAGAAACCCAATCAGACCAAACCGAGAACGCGGGGTTACTCCGGGCAATACCAATAGCCGAGAGCATTAGCCGTCGGCTATTGACACGGTAAGTGGTTTTCCCTACTTGAACAGATGAAGGGGCTATTAAATAAGCATATGAAGAGAAACAATGTCTGATATAGTATCTAACATTCAAAGCAGTTAATATCAAGTTCTTAGAGAATGACCATAGAGGCAAAAGTAGGTAAAACGTTTAACCACAAGGTCCCGCATCCCCCACATGGAGAGGAGCATGGCGATGAGTAAGGGTCTTCGGAATTCTTTGTGGGGACGTCCGACTTTGATTTCGTACTCTTCAATGTTCCTGTAGCCATGGAAGAAGAATCCCCGTCAGAAGCCTCACGGCGCGATATCGCCAAACGCGTTTCGCGAGCCTGTTTGCATTGCAGACAACGCAAGTCTCGATGTGACCTGTAAGATTGTCTTTTCTTCTCGTTTCGGCCACGATCCTTGCAGTCTTTCCCCGCATCTGCAATATAGATGGTTCCGCGCTGATCGCATGCAGAGACTCTAATGGGAAACCCGGCAAACCACCATGCCAGCGTTGTGTACGCGAAAACCGCGAGTGCATATTAGGCGGCTCAAATCGTGGAGGTCGTCGAATCCGGAAGAACAAAATCAAGAACTTTACACCGGTCAATCGCTCACCAGGCAAGGATTCGGAAGTCTCAAGCCCAACCAACTCGGAAAATCGTCGAGTGCAATCGGCATCCTATCCTGGCCCGCTAGTCTTTTTGCCACCTAATCCACCGGCGCCAGCATCGGCATCCGTCGAGGAAGATGATACCTCGATATCGTCTGTCCCGCGCAATCCATCAGACGCATGGCAATGCTTGACCGGCATCGCCACGGAAGGCACAGAGATCGCTCCCGAGATCCGCAATGAACATGTTCGGTCGGAGCCAACACCATTCCCAGTATACAACAGCCTGCGCAATGGCGTCTCAGACTTCAACAACCCAACCACTGGCATCAGGGCCTACAGACTTGTCCAGTCGTGCGCCCTAGACCCGGAAACGGTGTGGCAACTGATTTCCCGCTACGCGGAGAACTTCCACCAGTATCTTCCCCTTGTGCCGCGGAAGTATTTCACACGCGCATCGCTAGACGCATTCGCCGCCAATGAGAAGCACCTGCTCACCGCAGTCCTGACGATCGCCTCCAAGGATTTGGTCGACCAACCCGAGATCCACGAGTACTGCTCGAAGTACATGCACGAGCTGATTTCCGGCATCGCCGCTGGCGCAGAATGTGATGTTGAAGCGGTCGAAGCGCTTCTCTTACTCGCCGAGTGGGAACCTCAGGGACTGCGGCCTCGCATTGAACGCGTTGGGCGCGGAGAGGAAGACCGCGCGGCGTGGATGCATGTCGGGCTTGCGTTGCGCTCGGGGTATTTCATCGGCATGGATCGCACGTCTTTCCGTGGGGATCCTTATGGGGACCATGAGAGTGAGGCACGGAGACGTCTGGCCTGGGCGAGCTGCTATGTCTCTGATCGATTGATTTCTGTGCGTATTGGACGTGCTTTCTGGTCTCGTGGCCCCGGGCCCATGACTGGTCTTGTCAGTCAGGATTTTCCATCGCTGCAGCCGGTTAACGAGGGCGAGGAGGACTATGCGAAGATCTTTCAGGCTATGTTGGATCTTACGCAGCTCTATGGGAATGTTCACGAAGTTTTATATTCGGGGATGCGTACTAGTAACCAGATGATGCTGATGGGAGACTATGTTAAATATGTGGATGACTTCCGTCTGGCGATTCTGCGGTGGAAGTCACTTTGGGGGTCATTGGACTGTAAGTTGGCCTTTTCTCGATTATTTGAGCTGCTGGGTATGTTGGTTCTAACATATCTAGGCTCACCACCTATGCGAGCAACACTGCAGTTGTCATACGAGTATTTGCGTCTGTATACAACTGCTTTCGCGTTCCAAGCTGCGATCTCGCAGTCGCTCGTCAAACCGAAAACCGACCTACAAAACCAGCGAGAACATCTACGATCGACATTCAAGAATGTAGCTTCGATGCAGGATTCGCGGTTCATCTATGAATCCGTTGATGCGGCCAAGTCATACTTGACAATCTTGGTGGATCTGGTAGATCCTGAGAAGCATCTCCACTTCATGCCTCTCCGCTTCTACCTGTAAGTTTTTCTTTCGTCGCGTGTTATTTCGAGGCAAACAGCTCATGCGATTTAGATATGGCATCTACTCTGCCGTTTTCCTCTACAAGGTAAGATTCCTATTCAATCCCTCTTCTGGATATCATCTAAGCGATATCATAGGCTCGTTCATTCGGAATGATGGTCCCATCAGAAGAAGCAAAAGTCCAAGGCCTAGTCATCCGAACCACTGAAGTGCTCAAACAAGCAAGTGCCGGCACTGATGACATCGGGTCGCGCTATGCTCGCCTTCTAGAGCTTCTATGGAAGCCCAAGTCCACATCGAACCCAACCGAAGAGACGCAAAATAGTGACTTCCCACTACAAACATCCCTTCCGAACCCAGTCACAGACCCGGGATACATGAAATTCAGCCCTGCGAATGACTTCTCATGGCTAGATTTGGAGGCCGTGGGCGATTATGTATCCGGGGACCAGATTTCTGGTGGCTTGTTGGGGCTGGATGCGTTCCAGAATGCCTCCGATATGTACCAATCTGGAGAGCCACGCTCGCAGACTTGGCAGCCGTCTGCTTGGATGGGAGATATGAGCAGCAACCTTCTCTTTTAAATGCTTGGTAATGGCTTTATCCGTGTGGTACTTATGATGTGACACCCCCACCCCCAAATCTGACGGCAAATGATGCGGGGCTTTGCGGGGGTTTACCCTCGGAGATGGCGCCGAGGGGTAACCGAGGCCAGCAACGCAGTTCTTTGCCAGATCAAACTTGGAGGTTTAAGAGTTTACATCTGCGCTTGATCATTGCATATCGTCAACATACGTATCAACTCCGTCGCATCATGTCACTTAACGAGATCCAGGGTCGGCTTGCGCTCATTACCGGCGCATCGGGAGGGTAAGCTATTCCAACTCATATCACCCCAATACGGCGAATGAAGAACTGACAATTAATTCTATAGAATTGGATCTGCCTGTGCACACCAGCTTGCTCAACATGGAGTGCATCTCGCCCTGACATACGCGAGCAACCTGACCGCCATGAACGCACTGGTGACCGACCTGCAGAGCAAATACGCAGATAAAAAGCTCCATATCTCAATTCATAAAGTGGACGTAGGTTCCGCTGACGACATCGAGACGATGTTCCAGCAAATCGACACCGAGCACGGCCACCGACCTGATATCCTGATCTCGAACGCTGGGCACGGGAAGCGGATTCCCCAAATCTGGGACTGCTCTCTCGAAGAGTTCGATCATACTATACATGTCAACTTGCGCGCTTCATTCATTCTCGTCAAGGGGGTGGTGGAGCATATGAAGAGCCAGAATTGGGGGCGTATTGTGTTTATGTCCTCGATTGCTGCGCAAGGTGGTGGAATCAATGGATGTCGTATGTATAGCTTCTTTCCTTCTCTGAGGAATACCAAACTGACTCTCTTTTAGATTACGCTGCCTCTAAAGGTGGTCTGACAGGCATGATGAAGAACCTTTCTACCCGACTGGCTGAATTCAATATCAGTGTTAACGATGTGGCGCCTGCCATGATTGGTGACACTGGTATGATTCCTAACGCTGCGGCTATCCCTGAGGTGGCAGCTGGGATTCCGCTTGGTCGCCTCGGGACTCCCGAGGAAACGGCCAATGTTGTGACTATGCTTGTGAAAACAGGCTACATGACGGGTCAGAGTCTTTTGCTGGCTGGAGGGTTGAAATGAGCAACCCAATATTATGAAGAATAGTATAAGAAGTGGAAATCTATCTCATGGCCTTAGCGCCCTACAAGTTATCACGATCATCACCTCAACTTTGTATATGCAATTTTGTTCATAATCCTCTCCACATATATATCCATCCTTTTGCTATTGTCACAATTCGGGTATTTTCAAACACAATCATCATCATCGCCGTCGTCCTCATCAGCAAATTTACAGAGAGCCATTAGAGCCCCGTCGGCTCTCAATAATAACCTTTACAACAGGGTTCCCCTCCTCATCAACTCCCTTCCCGGCAAGTGTAAACGCCCGCTCCCCCTCCTCCAACTTGAGTCTATGGGTAACGACCTTCTCCTGAACACTCTGCATCTTTCCACTCGCCAGCAGCGCAATAGCAGCGGGGTACGCAGATCCATCATAACGGAACACACCAATGATATCGACCTCGCGCAGCGCGGCCGCACCAACAGGCAGCGTCTGGATAGGATTTCCCATACCAATCTGCACCAGCACACCACCAGGCGCACTAGCATAAATCCCCGCCTGCACGCAAGCCGGCACACCAGTACAGTCATAAACACGACTGAATCCGTTCACAATGAGTCCATCCTTCGCACCGACGGCTTTAATCAACGCAGCGGCAACCACCTGCGCATTCTCCAGCGCATAAGCTGTCTGCTCAGCATGCGGCGCATCCTTCGGCGGAGGCGGAGTCTCAGACCTGGGAATAAGCGCCGTCTTAAGACCAAGCCCCATATCCTCCGCGATCTTGAGTCTCCGCGCATCGATATCCGCAACGACAATCGCGGAGAAATTCTCACTAGCCGCCAGCGCGCCAGCAAGCAGCAGGCCGATAGCGCCAGCACCGAAAACCAGCGCCGGGGTCTCCTCTCCAGCGGAGCGGTTCTGCTCAACCTCCGCCTTGCTCGGCGGGTGTGAGCGACGCACAGCGTGCAGCGTGACGGCGAGCGGCTCGACGAGCGCACCACCTGCGTCGCTCACGCTGTCTGGGAGCAGGTGGCACATGTCTGCTGGGTGGTTTGTGCGCTCCATCAGCGTGCCGTCGAGGTGGGGGAAGGCTTTTGCTGAGCTGCGGAATTGCATGGCTTTGCAGATGTTGTAGCGGCCTTGTTTGCAGAGCGCGCATTTGCGGCATGGGAGGCCGACTTCCAGAGCGACGCGGTCGCCGACTTTCAGGGTTGTCACGGCGCTGCCGATGGCTGTTACTGTGCCGGCGGATTCGTGGCCTAGACACATTGGTGCCCGCACGACGAAGTCGCCATTGCGTCCGTGGCTGTAGTAGTGGAGGTCTGAGCCGCAGATTCCTGTTGCGCGGATGGCGACTTGGACTTCGTTTGTAGATGGGGGGGTGATGGCGCGTTGTTCCTGGGTTTGGGTTAGTTTGGTCCGAGTTGGTTATTATTTGGAGTTACTTACTAGGCGGAGGTCTTTGGCGCCGTGGAGAACGAGCGCGGTGGTGGTTGTGCTTGCCATAGTGTGTATATCGTGTAGAGAGTAGTAGGTAATAGTTTCAGAGAGAATAAAAGAAAGGATTGAAGTAAATAGCGAAGAAGTAGCGAAACCCGACCTCTGACGGCATTTGGAGTCAACTCGGCCCGTTGGTGCCCCTCTACACATCCAAAACACCCCACTTGGTCGTCGTGGGGGGAAAGTCTTGGGCCCGGAGGTGCTCCGCTGTCGGTTATTGCACCAAAGGGGAGATTTGGATAGCCGACGTGGGGGTGATGATTCTTGAATTTGCACTTGGTAGAAGATCAAGGAGTAATAAGTGAAGAGATGAAGTTAATGATAATCGTTGTATAAACAGATAAATGTAGAAACTGAGTAGAAAAGTTCTAGGTTGAGGTATAAGTATGAATACGATCTATAAAACCCGTACATCTATATCCACGACACTGTCGGAGGAGCCCCCGTTACGACATGGGGGTTATGCGATAGCGGGGACATTTGAACCTCCAATGATCTCTTGATTTCTGGAATCTTGGAAATTCTTCTTTCTTTTCATTCTCAGTTGCTAATCTTCTCATTGCTCGCTTCAATCCCTCAATCCTTTCTTGATACACCCCTATAGAACTTTTACAAATGTGAGCAACCCCGCTGACATCATTTGGCGCATCTAACGTTACCAGCAACATGGCAACACAATCAGCTCTCCTCATTGGAGAAATCACACACGCGCGCAAGGAATGGGAGAGCCTCTCATCATTCTTGACGTTGAAGGTAAGTGATTCGTATTGCGCCGCGACCGAATCTTGCTCAATAGACAACTAGGAATTCCCCAGCGGAACCAGAGAAGAGTTCATCGCAAACTGCAAGGCTGGCAAGTATGACGATGTAGTCGTCCTCTACCGGTCCAACAGCTCCACCAAGGTAGATACCGGCCTGACCTTTCACTTCGAGTGATCCGACTGACAACGCATAGTACACCGGTCCGTTCAACGCAGAGTTGCTCGCAGTCCTGCCTAAATCTCTCAAGTACGTCTGTCACAACGGCGCAGGATATGACAACATCGATGTTGCCGCCTGCACGGAGAAGAACATCGCAGTGTCCAGCACCCCAGTTGCGGTCAACAACGCGACAGCCGACGTTGGCATTTTCCTGATGATCGGCGCTCTGCGCCAGGCTTACGTGCCTATTACTGCTCTCCGGGAAGGTAAGTGGCTAACCAGAGCGGAATGATATTCTTTCCCAGTAATCGGTGACTAACCATAATTCCTCCAACAGGAAAGTGGCAAGGCCCGATCACCGCAGGAGGAAAGCAGTACAGCACTACCCTGGGCCACGACCCCAAGGACAAGGTCCTCGGAATTCTGGGCATGGGAGGCATCGGACGGGTATGTAGCACAGACAGTAATATACCACCTGACCACAGCTAACCATGAGCAGGAAATGGCAATTCGCGCCAAGGCCTTCGGGATGAAGATCCAGTACCACAACCGGTCCCGTCTATCACCCGAGCTGGAAGCCGGCGCGACATACGTCTCATTCGACGAGTTGCTCGCCAATTCGGACGTGCTCAGCTTGAACTTGGCCTTGAACGCATCCACGCGCCACATCATTGGTGCTAATGAGTTCACCAAGATGAAGGATGGCGTCGTGATTGTTAACACGGCCCGTGGTGCGCTAATTGATGAGAAGGCGTTGGTTGCGGCACTTGACTCTGGCAAGGTATGTATTTGCTGCGTTGAACATCAACTTCCATGATGGATATGCGGCTGACTGGTGGCTGTTCTATAGGTGCGCTCTGCTGGCCTGGATGTGTATGAGTGCGAGCCGGAAATTGAGCCCGGGCTCGTTAGCAATCCTAATGTTATGTTGCTGCCGCACATTGGTACTGGCACTTATGAGACTCAGAAGGATATGGAGATTCTGGTGCTGGATAACATGCGGTCGGCTGTTGAGAAGGGTGAGCTTATTACACAGGTTCCAGAGCAGAAGAAATAGACAAAATAGGGTATATAGATATGGATTTATGAAGAATAAAATTGTTCCGTTCAATCATCAATGATCAGTTTATGAAGTATAGTTGCAACTTAAGATGTTCACCTTAGTTGATTGCACCAGTGAACCTCAAGGCTGAGATGTGGGGCAGAAATCAATGACTAAGCTCTGACATAACTCAAAAGTAATCCACCCAAAACGGCTAGCGTTAGGGCTCGCTTAGGGCCAGAGCGCCAAGAGCGAAAAAAACCGCACCAAATCTAGTGGCTCAAGCGAGAGCCGGACGACGACGAAAAGCGACAACAACTCATCACCGAGGACCATCACACCCCCCTCGCCAACTCCTTCAAGATGGTGAGTGCTGCATGTCCCTGTCATCGATAATGACCTTTCGCAATCCCATTCTCTACGAAATGCCACTTGTGTGATGCACATTCAATGTCCGATCGCCGGGTCGACTTTCGCTACATCACCAACACCCAACGACGATCCCATTGCTAACGAGCGATGCTTTTCACAGGTCCGTTACGCCGCACAGGAGATCTCGGAGGCCAAGAGCGCCCGCGCGCGCGGCTCTTACCTCCGTGTCAGCTTCAAGAACACCCGTGAGACTGCCCAGGCCGTCAACGGCATGAAGCTGTCCAAGGCCCTCACTTTCCTCGAGAACGTTACCAAGAAGACCATGGCCGTTCCCATGCGCCGCTACGCTGGCTCCACCGGTCGCACTGCTCAGGGTGAGTCGCCCTTTTGAAGAAATTTCCGGATGGATTGGAGTTTCGGATTGTGGGGAGGACGAATAGCATCGCCAATATACGACAGCCACTGGGATATGAATTGAAATGACGAGGAAAATATGAATGGATTACGAGGATGGATTTCTTGGCTTATTGGCGATGCTGTGCATTCTACAATCTGGATGAAAATTTGTGAATGGAGTCGAACATCGACTGACAATTTTCGGTTTACAGGAAAGCAGTTCGGTGTCTCCAAGGCCCGCTGGCCCGTGAAGTCCGCTGAGCACATCATCGATCTGCTCAAGAACGCCGAGGCCAACGCCGATGGCAAGGGTCTCGACACCAGCGCTCTGATCATCAAGCGCATCCAGGTCAACCAGGCTCCCAAGGGTCGCCGCCGCACTTACCGTGCTCACGGTCGTGTACGTTTTATTAATATGTACGGTTGAGTCGGTATCCAAATGCTGACCTTTTCTTTCCAGATCAACCCCTACATGACCAACCCCTGCCACATCGAGCTCATCCTCACCGAGGCTGCCGAGGAGGTCAAGAAGGCCAGCACCGACAAGCAGGTCCGCCTCTCTTCCCGCCAGCGTGGCACCCAGATCCGCCGTGCTCTCATCGAGGCATAAACGGATCGCCATAAGAAGGTGTGAGGGGACGTGTGGTTACGCAATGTGAAAAGATTTTTGCGGTGGACGGGAAGGATCGGAGTTCTGTGCATCAGCTGTGTATGTTGGAACGGACTCGATACCGGATCATACAAGATTTTAAGGTCATGCCAACACTCGGAGGAGAACCCAATAAAAAGTTTAAACGATATGGCCCAGGATGATGGAAATAGGATTCTGTACTTCCCGATCCAATCATGATACAAACGTGGTTCTTTCTCCGTGACTCTATCGAGTGATTTTTCTTTGATAGAGAGTGTTCCATTTCTGTCTTGTTTAGCTGCACACCTCTGTCGAGGTTTCGATCTTTCGGTCATATAATGTGATCTTATTTTTTCTGTTTTATATGCATTATCTGATCTATTGATCTATCGTAACGATGAGTGGATATCTCGGTGTTTGGAATTACGGGTTCACCTCTATATGCACTTGAAGGATTTTATTGGTAGATATGGAATCTTGAGGAAATCCTACCTATACCACTTTCAGTCCCCGGCAATCCTTATCTGGGAAAGGAACATGCCAAGGTCCTTAATCTATAAGCAGGGATCTAAATGCGGGGGTATAAGTACTCTGTAGTCCAAACAGAATACACTTCGAGATTCCCTCATCCAATCTACTCCATCCCTCTATATATATCACCATCAACCCAAAATGACCAGCCTATCAGACTACCGCCTCCTCTGCTTCGACGTCTACGGCACTCTAATCGACTGGGAAAGCGGCATCATCGATGCATTGGCACCAATCCTCTCGAAAAGCAGCACCCAATTCACCCGTGAACACCTTCTAACAACCTACCACCAGCTTGAGAGCACCCAACAAACCGCAACCCCGGACCTTCCATACTCAGACCTGCTAGCAGCAATCCACCCCACCCTCGCCGCGCGCCTAGGCCTCAACCCGCCAACGGACGAGGAAAGTCGCCAATTCGGCAACTCCGTCGGAACCTGGCCGGCCTTCCCAGACACCGTCGACGCCCTCCGCCGACTGTCAAAGCACTACAAGCTGGCGGTGCTGTCGAACGTGGACCGGGCTTCATTCGCCAAGTCCAATGCCGGCAGCTTGCAGGGTGTACCGTTTGATATGATCCTTACCGCGCAGGATATTGGCAGTTACAAGCCGGATCCACGGAACTTTGAGTTTATGTTGAGTGCTGTGCAGCGTGAGTTTGGGGTTGAGCCTGGACAGGTTCTGCAGACGGCGCAGAGCCAGTTCCATGATCATCAACCTGCGAGGAAGGTCGGCATTAAGTCGGTTTGGATTGAGCGGCCTGGGGCTTTGATGGGGAATTCGGCGGATCCGATCTTTGATTGGCGGTTTAAGACACTGGGGGAGATGGCAGATGCTGTTGAAGCAGAGTAGATACGATACCAAGTACTTGGTACTTCTAAATATATGGCCAATGCGTATTGAAATAATGTACCGTCTACCTACCTTCGTTCGTGGCTGAGTCACCAGGGTCAAAACATCATGGATCCCTGGGCAGGTGAGATTGATTGCCTGGAGCCTGATGGCACTCAGCTTGGCAATGCAGATTATCTGGATGCGTGCGTGGAAGGTGGCGTTGATCGCTGGGGACATTGACTTATATATATCTCACTGCTCGGTTTTATTGATCAACTAGCGAGGGCACCTATTGCTAGTTCCATACTAGTTCGAAGCAGTTGGGCCCCTACTAGGATTATTCTTTAGCAATTTGATCCCTTTCTTCCCTTTCAAAAACCCTCCCCAAAAACAAGCGACTGTGCGATCACCATGAAGCGCTTCCTGGGATCTCTGAGCAGGCGCTCAAGTGAGTGTCTCCTCTCCACGTCTCCCCGCAAATTACTGATTTGTACCTGAAAATAGGCTCCAGCGACAGTGTCGAATACAGCGAAGACTCACCAGAAGCCGTTGTCCTGCAAGCATTGGTTTGTGCTTAGTCTCGAGAGATTGAACAAGGCACACTGACATCTCCAGACTGCCTTCTGCGAATCGAATCAGAATGTGAATGCGGATGGATCTTCGCACGACGCGGTACGTGCCTCGGAGATGATAACACACCCCCTTTTCGAGACTGACAACCGATGCGCACACTCCAGCAAGGAACTGAATTCGTTTACCTCCCTCAAATCGTCGAAACTGCCGAGTCGAGCCCCAATGCCGCTAAGGAAGCGGCTTTGCGCATTCGCAAGTATCTCACCGACCCCGCCGGTACCCCGAACCACACCCAGTACAATGCGATCATGCTCATGCGCATCCTGGCCGACAACCCGGGGCACACCTTCACACGCAACTTCGATGCCAAATTCGTGACAACCGTTAAGGAGCTGCTGCGGACAGGACGCGACTGGAACGTGCAGAGCTATCTCCGCCAGTATCTGGATAGCCTCGAGCAAGAACGCGCATGGGACGAAGATCTCAAACTGCTGCTTCAGATGTGGGCGAAGGAGAAGACGAAAGCCTCTCACGGTCTGGTGAGTACATCATAGTCACCTTGCGTGCCCGCCGTCCAAGACTAACCTAGCCAGATCGACCGTTTCCCAAGGAATTCCGTCGTCCCACCGCGAGTCCCGCCTAGGTCTCGCCCTCACCAACAGCCATACGGCCTGTCCCGCGCGCCGACAAATACCCTCCCCACGCCGGTGGAACTAGCAGCCCGCATCGAGGAGGCGCGCAATTCGGCCAAGCTGCTCACGCAATTCGTCCAGTCCACGCCGCCGATAGAGCTGGAAAACAACGATCTCATCAAGGAGTTTGTTGACCGCTGCACAACCGGTTCGCGTGTTGTTCAAGGATATATCCACGCGACCAACCCGGCTCCGGACGAGGACACCTTGTTGACGCTTATTGAGACAAACGAAGAGATCTCCGTGGCGCTGTCGCAACAGCAGCGTGCCATGCTGAAGGCGCGCAAGATCAGAGGATCTTCGTCGCCCAGCTCGTCCAATTTGAATAGCCCTTCACCGACGTCGCAGGTTGTCGCGCCAGGAGTTACGAATTTCTCTCCTCCCCCCGTGGCGCCAGCTGGCATTTCAACGCGCAGCTCCGAATCCCCGGCACAGCTGCCTTCTCCGACTATGACTGGTGGTCGGCCACTTGCTTCCCATTCACTCAATTCCAATCCTGTCGGGGGATCTACGACTAATAGCCGATATGAATACAAGCCTGAGGATTTCCAGGTGCGGAACCCATTCGCGGATGACTATGCCACGAATGAATCGGAGGAGAGGAATCGTGTGCATTTTGATTCGCAGGTCCAGAGTGATCGCCGGTAGCACGTCTCTCTCTCTCTCTTTTGTCATCGCTCAGTCTTTTTCTTTTTGTTACGCTCAACTCTGGTTGTGGTTTTGTCTATTTTTACAAGCGCATAGCCTTTGGTTTTTTTTTTTCTCTTTCAGTTCTCTTTCCCTCTTTACCCATGATACCTCGCACATTGTTATCACACATATTCGTTAGCTTTTACTGCAAACACCTTCAGCAGTATTTTTGACCCACAGAAGAGGAGCGTGCGCCGTCGTTTTATACTCTAGGTACACACCTTTGAGGTAAATACATGCGGGTCTTACCCTCCGTCCTCTAGTGTTGTACAGGGTATTGTCCCTCTATCATGTGTATGTGCAAAAGATCGAATGCATTGGTAGGAAGTCATAGACAGCACCTACAAAGAGTCCAAAAAGCACAAGACGCCAATCCAAGGCTGGCTGCGTCCAGCCATTCCAATCAACTCGCCATATCAGACATGTCATCCTACAACCTATTTCACTTACCCCAACAACGAAATATCCTCTCACTGCTCAGTCTTGATAGTAACACTCTCACTAGTCTCCGCCTGAGCTCCCTGCTCAGGTAAAGGCTTCCTCGCCCACACACGTCGCCTGTATAAAAATCAGCCCACACCCACAAGAAGCAAGGAAGGGAAAACATACGCGCGCTGATAAATATGATAGCGAGGATTCTTAAGCTCCGCCCTCAGCTTCGCAACATAAACAATAACCTCCTCCTGCGACCAAGGCTGCGGCGCCCCGAATTTACACAGCAACCACATAGCCCAGCCCTCCATACCGGACATCCAATGCTGGTAGTTGACCGTGCCAGCCTCTTTGTATTTCTGGTCTCGGGCCCAGGGGCCAATGGGCCACTTGTATTCTTTCTGACGGATATCCACGAACCCAGTCTCGCGGAGAGCGTCTTGCATTGTATCGATTGTTTCTAGCGGGCGACCGGCCCGCTTGCCGCATGCGGATAGCGATGGGCCCCAGCTGCGGAGGACGCTGTCTGCTGGTAGGCTGTCGTCGTCGCATTCGATGTAGGGGCTTGCTTCTAGTTGCTCGATCCAGCCGCCTGGGGTGATGTTGCTGGTGGGGTCGGGTTAGTTATGGGAGCTGGGGATGGGGATGAAAGTGCGCTTACTCGTAGCATTGCTTGTAGACGCGTTTCCATTCTGCGTCGCTGAAGGATCCGATCATGATGCGCATGTGAATTAGGTCTTGAGGTTCGTTCCAGGTCCATTCTTCGGCGATGTTGTCGACTTCTAGGATGCAGTTTGGTGGCATCCATGTTACTGGTGGTGGGAAGAGGTCGACTCCGCGGACAGTGGCTGGGGTTTTGGTTAGTATGTTGATATGGTGAATTGGACCGGGGCTCCGGACTTACTTGTTGGGAACATGTCGGCTACATCGCTAGAAGAGGGTGAGTAGTGATCCTTTATGAAAATGAAAGGTCCACATACATGGCCCAGTTACCCAGACCTGTTCCAAGGTCGAGGATGTTTTTGGGGTCTTTAACAGGCGACCGGAAGAGCGGGTTCTCTTGGTCTGAGTCCATGACGAGGGCTACCAAGTGGCTGCAATAATCAGTTACCATTTGAACAAAGACCATATGTAAGAGAATTCCACATACCCAGCTTCGTAACAATCGAACTGCTTCTCATCCGATGGAATCCTGGCAGGAAGTAAGCAGGCAATACCTCGATTCGGAAGCCAACGCGTACAGATATTCCTTGTTGCTCAATGTTTGATATCGCCGGCCATTCTCCTCTAACCCGCGATAAAGCGAGGAGCCGATCGAAGTGGTTTCCCTGGATTGTGTGAGAGATCTCCATATAGGCACAGAGATAAGACTCACGATTGCCAGTCATCGCCGTAAACGGTCGTGATATGGGTCGTGGGATCCTAACATTGTCAGAAACATAAATCAAAGAGATAAGAAGTATACATACCACGGCGATATCATCCTCGGGCTCAGTATGTATTCTATCCATTGTAGAGTGTTTTCAGAGAAAAAGCAGAGTAGACGATCAAAGTCGAGAGCGAGAATCCGGAACCTGCTCGACGGAGCTACTGGATCGAAAAGCATTGGACCACATGGCAGGAGCACATGGCATCCCGCTCGTGCATGTCACAGGCCAGATTAGGCAATGCAATCGTCGAAAATCCGCTGCCATAGGCTTGAACTGTGGGCTGGGATGTGTGGCATTGTGGGGTGGAAATCTCTTCCGACTGATATGAGCCCTCGGATTGGATGTCGCCTGGGTACTCGCATGCGGAATTGCAAAAGTACTCTTGTCTACCAATAGGAAGAGTCAATGTAAAGTGTGTATTCTTCACGGAAATCCTGCTGAGAATTCCGCTTGGCCTAGTGAGCCCACCTCGTTGTCTCAAACGGGAATAATATCATACATATTCACTAAAATCGTCAAAAGGATATCTACCGCTCTATAGTTGATGTTGTCTATCTTCCATCTCCCCCCTATATTGTAGTATTTTACAATTTTGTCGAAGAGAGGGAATATGACGGGCATTTATGATTCGTAGCTATAGTTTCCGATACGAGAAATACGGGAATTTAGGTTAGTTGAGTTCCAATTTAGTGCAACATTAGGATATATTCTCCAAGTACCAAGATAGGCTATCAATTAGCCTATGCGGGATATCCGGCCGGATGACGCCTCAACATTTGAACTATATAGCCCAAGAACGAAACACCACCAGCACATTCCTCATTGAATAACAACGTTTCGAATTCCAAACATGTCAGACTCCCTTCCCTCCAAAATGTTCAGCATCATCCAAAAAACCGCCGCCTCTAAAACCCTCACCATAACAAATACACCCCTCCCAACTCCAAACCACGCACAGGGAGAGCACCTCATCCAAATAAAAGCCTGCAGCCCTTGCGCCGGCGAGCTCCTCTGGCCAAAGAACTTCCCTCCACCAACAGAGCGCACTCTAATCCCATGTCCAGACATGGCGGGAATCGTCATCTCAGGACCGGACGACTCGCCCTTCCAGCCCGGTGATGAAGTGTACGCACGCACAAACTATAGCCGGCCAGGAAATGCGCGCGAGTATTCCATCGCCGTTACGGATGAGCTGGCTCATAAGCCTACGGGCCTAAGCTGGGTCCAGGCTGCTGCAGTTCCTGTCTCTGCGCAGACGGCTTGGCAGATTCTTTTTGTTCATGCTCTTGGTACCGGTGCAAATGAGGGAGAGATGAGTTTTGAGGCTGCTAAAGTTGCCTGGTCTGGAAAGAGAATTCTTGTCACTGCTGCTTCTGGTGGTGTGGGCATTTGGCTCGTGCAGTTGGCCACGCTACTTGGTGCGGAGGTGGTTGGGACATGTGGCCCTCGGAATGTGGAATTTGTGAAGTCTCTTGGTGCGAAGGAGGTGCTTGATTATCAAGTTGTGGATGTGAAGGAGTGGGCTACGCAGTTACCTTCTAATAAGGTGGATGTTGTTGTTGATTGTATCGGGGGGAAGGCTCTTCAGGATGCGTGGTGGACTGTTAAGGATGATGGTGTTGTGCTGAGTATCTATCAGCCACCTCTGCAGGTCTGTCCAGAGGGTTTTAAAGGTGAAGGTGTGAAAGATGTGTTCTTTATCATGCAGCCTGTGAGGAGACAGTTAGAGGAGGTTTCGAAGTTGCTTGAGAAGGGGCTGTGTCGGGGATTGGTGGATAGCGTCTGGCCTTTTGAGCAGTATGAAGAGGCATTCAAGAGAATGGATGAGGGGCATGCGAAGGGCAAGATTGTCTTTGATCTTTCATTGAATCGCTAGGAGCTGAGGTGGACTGATGTTTCTTCAGCACTGTTGCCATACACGAGACACGAGGAAGGATGGCTCGGTCACGGGTGGTGGGAGTATATAGGGAATGTTGTTTGATTGTCTATCATTTTCCATCGAAGCATATCGCACAGAGTAAGAGACCAGTATCCAAGAGCCACTTAGGTAGGGGAAAATGCCAATCAGCTCTATAAAATACTCCGGTGTCATGATTGGTGGAATTTCGGCAAGCCGACGCTAATAACTTCAAACTTCACAATACTCCGTCTCCTGTAAGGGATTAGCTGAGGCTATTCACTCGGAGGCATTGCGTACAAGGTATTGCATATGCGAGAATGTCCAATGCTAAAGGCTTGGGCAGCAAATATCAGATGATCTTTGACTGTGACATCCTTGACAGCTCATGAACTTCCTATTTAGTTTCATCGGATCTAGTTCGATTTCCAAAGCACCAAGTGGACTACCCGGGAGAATTCTGGAATGGAATTGGAAAATCGTCCGAAGAGAACTGCCAAGTCATGTTTATTCTTCCATCTCCACGTCTTTAATCAACTTCAAGCATCCATAAAACTCCATGTCTCACCTGTCACCACCCGCCATTGGCAGCCCTGAGGTCTCCATCAACGTGAAACCCGGCGCATCCCTGTTCGGCGCGTGGAGCCAGGCTTGGAAACCCTAGCCTTAGGAACATCTCGTCTCTAGATGATCATCCAGTCGGGTTCAATATACACCCGAACCCGAGGCCATATTGCCCTGTGCTTGCCGCCAGTCTGACCAGTCCCTTCCGGTGGGGGAGCGCTGTCCCTTGAGTATATCCGATGTGTTTCAGTATGATACATCATGGATCCAGGCCTCATCGCTGTTCATGATGCCTCTGGTAAGTGGTAAGCTACTGTTTCTAGTTGATTAATGTCGCAGCTCAGGTAGACCTCCTTTTGAATATGTCCACTATATAAGCAGCGACATAGCAGCGTGGCAAGACCAGTTCAGCATGCTGGTCAGTCTTTTTTGAATTCCATTCACATTCACATTCATTTTCTCCGGTTTGAGACCGTGCAGACTCTCGTTCATCAAGTATACATTCATTCATCGGTCCGGTTTACCGATTATTTTCATTCACTTCCCGACATCCCAATTCACTAAACATGAAGTCTTTCACCCCCGCCCTGGCTTTCGCCAGTATCATCTCCTTGGTCAACGCCCATGGCTTCGTCACCAGCCCGGCAGCCCGCGAGCCCGGTACTGCAATGGGAGCCGCGTGTGGTCAGCAAGTTCTGTCCAACCAGGAGTCCGACAAGTACGGCAACATCCAAGGCGAGCTACAAGTTGCCGCCACCCAGACCGACTACAACGCCGCCGAGTGTGACATCTGGCTGTGCAAGGGCTACAAGTTCGCCGACAACCAGGCCAACATCCAGTCGTACACGGCAGGAGAGGAAGTCGCCTTCACTGTTGATATTCGCGCCCCGCACACCGGTGTGGCCAATGTCTCTGTCGTCCAGACTTCTTCCAACACTGTCATTGGCAGTCCCCTAATCTCCTGGGATGTCTATGCGTCCGTAGCCACCGGCGTCACTGCCAACGAGACCAGCTTCAGCGTCACTATCCCCGACGATCTTGGAAGCCAGTGTGCCACCGCCGGTGACTGTGTGTTGCAGTGGTACTGGTACGCAGAATCAATCGACCAGACCTACGAGTCGTGTATCGACTTCACTCTCGGTGGATCTGGTAGCTCGGCGGTTGCGTCCACCTCGTCCACCTCATCAACCTCGTCGATCTCGTCGACCTCCAGCTCTACGGTGGTTGCCGCCACTACCACCCCAACTGCTGCTGTTGTTGAAACCCCTACCACGGCCGCTGTTCAGTCTACAACGCCCTCCATCACAGTTGCTGCTCAGCCTACTACTTCCACCACCACGGTTGCGGCCCAGCCTACTACTTTCGCCACCACTGTCCGTCAATCGACTACTTCTGCTGCGGCGCAAGTCCCTACTACCAGCGCTGATGCCTCCGCTACTACCTCGGCCGTATCTATCCCCACTGGTAGTGCTGCAGATGTCCTATCCTGGATTGAGTCCTTGTTGGGCAACTTGGTGGGTAATTAAATGCGGAAGGCGCGAACCTCGGTCCACTAAAAAGCGGGCAGCGTAGTGTCGCACATCATGTTCATCTTATCTATCTGTACCTCATATGTTAGCTAGTAGCTAGATATATCGGTAATTGGATGTCGGATTTACCAGCTTCCTTCATCGTTCTGGATTTTAATGCAACGCTGTTCATAGCGATATCGGAGCGATCACCGAACATCCGACATCGCCACTTCCTGATTCACCCCATTAAACACGAGATATCAATATAAAGACAAATATTGCCCATACAGCCAAACATCTTCTAGTATTTAATACCATCAAAACAATGCCTTGTCGCCTGAATCCCACAGCAACGAGATTACTCACCCACTCTACAAGAATCCCAATCCCAAGACCAGTCTACAGACACTTCACCACAACAATGACCCAACAAACCAAAGACTGGAGCGCAAACCAATACCTCAAATTCGAAAACGAGCGCACCCAGCCCGCCCGCGATCTCCTATCGCACGTGCCCCTAACAGCCCCAAGGAGAATAATCGACCTAGGCTGCGGCCCAGGCAACTCAACAACAGTACTAGCAACCCAATACCCATCAGCAACAATAACAGGGCTAGACTCATCACCGGACATGATCAAGCGCGCAAAGAAAGTCCTCCCAGACCATGACTTCCAAATCGCAGACCTGTCCACGTACACGCCCGACCCAGCCACGCCAGTCGACCTCTTTTTCTCGAACGCGGTGTTCCACTGGCTGAAAGCGGATGACCGCATCGCGGTCATTAAACGGCTGCTACAGCCGCAGCAAGAGGGCGCGGTTTTCGCGCTCCAGGTACCGCATAATCTGAACGAGCCGTCGCATCTGCTCATGCGTGAGACTGCTGCTGAGGGTCCGTGGAAGGAGAAACTGGCTGGGGTGCAGAGAGATGGGTTTCAGTCGCCGCAGGAGCTGTATGATCTGCTGAAGCCGGTTTGTAGTCGGGTTGATGTTTTTGAGACGAGTTATTATCATTCGCTGGAGAGCCATGAGGCGATTATTGAGTGGGTTAAGGGGACGGGGTTGAGGCCGTTTTTGGAGCCGTTGGTGGATGGGGAGGAGGAGGCGTTTTTGGCGGATTATTTGAGGCGCTTGCGGGCTGCTTATCCCGTTTCGTTTGATGGGAGGGTGTTGTTGAAGTATCCGCGGTTGTTTTTGGTTGCTGTGAAGTGATTTATACTTGTGTGTATAGTATTATTACTGATTCTTTCTGATGTTGCATGGTTTTGGCAATGGTATTTGCCGGGAATTTTAGTATTCATTCTATCTAACTTGATGGAAGTCTTGAAAAAAATATGGCATGCATAGATCGATGAGACGATGGACGAGTTCACATCCGCCTTACTACCCAGTAAGTGTAGATAGAAGAGAGCACATTCCAAATAATAGCTTAGACTGTTCCCGAAGCAGCAATCTTAATGGTACCATCAGTCTTTCCAGACCGATCCAAGCTCTTGCTCTCCATCTTCTCGAGAATATCCTGACCAGAGACAACCTCTCCGAAGACAACGTGCTTACCATCCAAGTGAGGAGTTTTCACAAACTAATCCAGTCAGAACAAGACATCTCCCATCAATTTCATTTCCAACTTACAGTGATGAAGAACTGAGAACCATTGGTATTAGGTCCCGCATTTGCCATGGAGAGCAATCCACCCTTAGTATGCTTGGTCTGGAAGTTCTCATCCGCAAACTTCTCGCCGTAGATAGACTTGCCGCCCGTTCCCTGAGAAGAAAGTGAAGATTAGCTGGAGCTCAGATTTCCCTGGAGATACCGTGACTGACATTTCCACGAGTAAAGTCACCACCCTGCGCCATGAACCCGGCAATCACGCGGTGGAAAGCAGAGCCCGCATAGCCGAAGCCCTTTTCGCCTGTCGCGAGGGCGCGGAAGTTGGTCGCGGTCTTGGGGACGACGTCGTCATAAAGTTTGAACTCAATTCGGCCCCAATTCTCCACTAGTACGCGTGTTAGCGTCGCTGGGATGAGATAGGGGGGTGTACTTACCCTGGCCCTTGGGCGAGGTGTATTCGATATCGAAATAGGGGTTGGACATGATGAATTAGATGGATTAGATGATTCGGGGTAAGGTGGGAAGTATGTAGATTGTTGAGCTGGAAGGGGCGGGGTAAATAAATGCCCAGGTGAGGGGCTCGGACGAATATGCAGGAATGAGGTCATCTTATGGCTGGATTGTTCAAGTTGGACGTGTCAGGGCTTATACTTGGACATACTTGGACATCGGAGGACGTAGTTGGACATGGATTGTCCGATTCATGGGTACCTTAGATGGCTCTTATACTGTAACAACTTCAATGTCACTTTGAATGTCTTAAGACCTTGTTTACCAGCCAACATTTACTAGTGTTCTCTATGAAATTTAGGGTAAAATAAATTTATAAAGTTCATTGGATTAAGAAGGCTCTCAGACCGTCACAGTCATCTTCGCCAAGATGCTGCCGTCACAAGTAAAAATACCGAGGGGCACATGTTGACCCAAGAAAGAGAATAAGAAATTGAAGAAAAGTAAATGAGGCGGTAGTGAAAATCACGAGGAAAATGACCACGCAAAACTCCTATACCGAGCCTGTCTTCCCTCGTCGCGTCACCTCTGCATTGCCGCCGAAATCACGATCCATCTAGTCAGAATCTTTAGATGCGCCAACCATAACATCCTCATTGGCATCTTTGTCGGAGGAAGCATCGGGGGCGGCAACTTTAACATTCTTCTCAAGCTTCTGGTTAAGTCGCGAGAACTGCTTCTGCAAGGTTGAAGTCGACTTGCCCGTCTCTTTGGCGACAGCATTCCAGTCAATCTGTAAGACAACCTAGTCAGTATTGACATGCTATAGTGTGTTTAATCAGACATATCAAGATATCTGAGACACTTGCCTTCATGCTGCTAGTCTTGATACATTTCCACAAGAAGATCACGTCCTTATCAATGATAGCGAGCGAGATCCTGGCAGGGGAGGCTTTGGCAGGAGAGGCTTTGACCGGAGTTCGCTTTGCAATTCCTCCTATCTTGACCGGTTTGGTCGCCTTGGCCTTAGGGGTGGTTGACTCTTTAGCCATGTCGATAATAGCAAACTTGAAGGTGGATTGAGTAAGAGCTGTCTGAGAACAGAGCTGTGGTTGGGAATAATGTTTGGTAGATGGAGAAAGTGAGTAGTGGGAGAGAGATGAAAGGAGATTGATTGTCATTTATAGCTGGTGCTGCTGCACGTGAGTTGACCCTTTGGGCTTTCGACCAAGACCAAATGCACTCAACGACCTACTGTACCGTACTCAGTGCTTCTTTGATAATCGATTTCTCCACAAAGAACAGTTTGCGATGGAAATTGATTTAAAGCATAAGTGTCATCATACCAGACCAAAGAGGTTTGCAAAGCTTTTTCTCACGCCAAGCTGATGCTTCTAAAATGAAAATCTTTCTAGAATCTGTCTTCGAGGTCAGATCTCGGGTGACACAGCACCACTATCTTGCCTCATAACACCCCCATGTGAATATATCGAGAAGACCCACTATGCTTGAATAGTGCTTGAATAGTGCTGGAATACTCTTTCCTCTGGGTCAGGAGCATCTTGGTCAAGTCATCGAGACAAAAGGTTGCGGGGGTTTTGTATCGGAGGACAACGTCGTTGTAATCGTCAACCAAAGGCAAGGGTCATGCCCGTGCCCATTGTGCATTATTGCTAGGTATTAGCAATATTAGCCTCTAGCGTTCCTTCTCTGAGAATTGCTGATTCTACTCTTCGACAAGCGAAGATCATAGACTGGTATTGTGGTCATGCCATTGTGGGCAGTCTCATAGATATAGTCGACATTGTTGACATCGAGCACGAATAAGAGCACGAATAAGAGTGCTTCTGTGGGTATATGTTCACGGCGAGGAAACAAGTTTCAGCGTTCGGCTGGCTTACACGAACCGAATCCTCGACCGTTGACGCAAATCGGCGTATGGAACTCGGCTAATCTCCAATGTCGAGTGTCGCCAAGTATTCGTATTGTTGTTGTTCCAACCGTTTCGAGGAAGTCGTTGATGGTGTCTGGAATCTGACTCTTGATATGCCCACGGATCTGTCGAATTTGCTCTTCCATTTTCAGGGTAGGTTCTGATGCAATGCGGAAGAAGGGGGTTGGTTTACGAGGTTCGCGTTCAAGTCGAGTCCACACCGCCATGATGTCACTTTCTAAAAAGGGAATAGCGCGGCAGAAACACTTACCAAGGAAGGAAGCCATACGGAGTAGCTCTAGAAGACAAGACGTGGTAACATTCATTTTCTGCCAGATTAGGAAAGTATACTTCGTGTACTCAGCCATATTAATGACGAATACAAATTATGACAAATAACGCATCAAAAATTCCTATGCCTTGGGAGCACGACCATTAGCTGCAGCCACGAAATGGCCCCAGCTAATCAACTCCTTGCTGCAGTCGTCACGGTCGATGGCACACTCAATTAGAGTCGGTCCGTGTCGGTTCTTTTTCGCTGCTTCGATAGCCGCACGAAGCTCTCCTGTAGTGGTGGCGCGGAAACCGCGGCCATGCCCATCTTTCGCATTGAACGACTCTACGAACGCGGCATAGTCCCAGTTCTTGATGTTGTTGTAAATCCCATCATGAATCTCGACCTCAATGGTGTATCCAATGTTGTTGATGAGGAATATAGTAACGGGAATGCGCAGTCTGGTCAGTTGCGATACTTCCTGCGCTGTCATTTGGAATGACCCATCCCCGACCAGCGTGATCACTTGCCTATCGGGGTGCCCAACGGCATAGCCAAGGGATGCGGGGATGGACCATCCAATGTGACCCCATTGCATCTCAACCTCCAATCTGGTTCCTTCGGGAAGCCGCATTTTAATAGCATCGAACCAAGCATCGCCGGTATCAGCAAAGAGGGTTGTCTTCGAGGTGACGATATTCTGGATCTGCAGACACATCTCCTTTCGTGTGAGCTTTTCATTCGTATGACTGGCAGTCAGACTTGGCTCGGCTGGGCTCAACCGTTTATATTCCAGCATTGTTGCCGGGTCTTTCTTCACCAGATGTGACAGTCCAGACAGAAACTCTTTCAAGTAGACGCGAGAGTATTCTGCTCCCGGGAGCTGAACCTGGTCAACGTCGGCCGTCACGCGTATGGAATCGGTCGGCTCGCTCGTCCAGCCGACAGTGCTATAGTCGGTAAAGACTGTTCCAACGCAGACGATCACGTCGGACCAGTCCACGATGGACTCAGCACCCAGCGTGCTGGCGAGACCCCAGTAAACTCCAGCGAACTGGGGATGATTCTCCGGAAAGAATGACTTGGCACTAGGCATCACTGCCACCGCGCAGCCCAATGCTTCCGCAAAGTCTCGGAGAGCGCCCTCGGCTTTGGCAGACCTGACTTTTGGACCAACCAAGATCGTAATCTTACTTTTTTGTGACAAAAAGGTGGCTGTCTTGTGAACAGCCTCCTTCAGAACGGCAGGGTCACTATGGAGAGGCTCCAAGATGACCGACGGTGGTCCCGGGGGCGCACACGGTTGGTTGGACAAATTTGTAGGAATCTCGATGTATACAGGTTTCTTAGTACGGAGTGCTTTGCGGATGGTAAAGTCGATCAGTTTCGGCGCATCCAAGGCGCGACGAATTGAAACCGCAGCGACCGTGATCTTTTTCGCCATTTGCAACTGATACTCAAAGTCATGAGTCCCGAGCGTGTGGTGAAGTAGGTTGAAGTCACCTGAATCATTGGTGTTGGGTGAACCACTGATGAGAATGACAGGGAGGTTTTCACCATAGGCACTCCCAATGCCGTTGAAAGCTGAGAAAGCACCGACGCTGTAGGTGACGACACATGCAGCGACGCCCTTGGCTCGTGCGTAGCCTTCAGCGGCCATGGAGCAGTTCAATTCATTTGTGCAGTTGATCTCGTTTAGACTGGGTTCCTGTTGCAGTTTGTCCAACAGGATCAAGTTATAGTCACCCGGCACTACGAAGTGCCTCTCGATACCAATCTGAGCCAGTCGGGTGGCTAGATAGCTTCCGACTGTAGTCATGGTGATTTATGGTGAACAGGTTCGTGATATTGTAGAAAATAATTGAAAAATAATATGGATTGACTTGATAATAGAATTGTGCCCGCGTTCAAGGCACAGTATTTAAATCTGTTTCGCGGCACAAGCTGCCAAGTACAATGTTCTAGAGCTCCCTATTATCTCGATCTAGAACAATCGTGAATCATACATGTCATATGCTCTGACACGCATGATTAAGAGCCTGACTATACACATTGTGCTTCCGCTTATAGTTGTCTATGACGTGGTAAGGCTGAGGGATATAGCTAGCCACCGATGTAAGTGAACCTCTCCAGCACCGCCGTCAACCGCAGTTCCAAGCTGAAGCTCATTGGTATAAAGTTTCTTTGACGTCTACACGTGGTGTGATGCAGCACCGAAAACGTCTGATTCGGCCGAAGACGTTCCAAGGATAGTGAGCTATGTGGCGATTTTCGATGTACAACCTCCTATGAGAGATCTACGGCTTCATTCTCCAAGGTATTTTGGTATTAGTTTGATGGGACTGGAAATGTTTAAGATCCATATTTGTTTGTTGTATTATGGCTTTTAAACTGTGCTAGAGCATCTGGAGGCATTTATCTGGGTAGACGATATTTTTTTGGATTTGATCTTGTATATTATGAAACAACTTTTAGTTCATAAAGATCCACGAAGTAAATAGACAAGTAAATGACAGGGCTGAATCTAGTCCGCGTCAAGTTCACACTGAACTAACTCAGAGCGTCACGCTTTTCTCCACTTGACCGTTCTTTTCGAATTGACCAACGCTTGAAAGCGTTGTGTTGGCGATCGACTCAAGAGCTTGACGGGAAAAGAACGCCTGATGACCTGTAACGATAACATTGGGGAGGGTGATCAGCCGCCGGAAGGTGTGGTCTGAAACTATCTGCTCAGATAAATCGCGGAAGAACAGCGGCTTTTCGTATTCATAAACGTCCAGCGCTGCACCCCCGACATGCCCACTTTCCAGTCCGTCAAGCAGAGCGACAAAATCAATCAATGCCCCGCGGCCGGTATTGACTATGGTGACACCTGGCTTGGTGATCCGAAGAGTATCCGAGTTAAGCAGATGCCGAGTGTCTGGCGTCAAAGGACAATGTAGACAAATGACATCAGCTTGTCGAAGTAGCTCTTCCTTGCTCACGTACTTGACGCCGATGGAAACCAGCTCAGGATTCTGAACGATATCGCACGCAAGAACTTCACAACCAAGGCCGGCGCGGAAAGATCGAGCGACCAACGAGCCGATCCGACCAGCACCAACAATTCCGATCGTCCGACCGTAGAGGTCTGTACCGAGAAGGCCATTGAGTGCAAAGTTTTCCTCCCGAACGCGTAGCCAGGCTTTGTGGATTTTCCGTTCTAGACAAAGAACCAGCCCGAGTGTGTATTCCGCCACTGCATTGGGTGAATATGCAGGGACGCGCACCACCGTGATCCCCGCCTTTTTGGCAGCAGCGAGATCCACGTTGTTGAATCCCGCGCATCGGAGGGCTATCAACCGAGTGCCATGCTCCGCCAGCTTGTGAATCACATTGGCGTTGATCTGGTCGTTGACGAACACGCAGATGGCTGGGAAGCCCGAGGCCAGAAGAGCAGTCTTCTCGCTTAGACCTGCCTCGTGATAGGTGATCTCATGCTTGAATGCCTGGTTAGACTGATCCAGCGATGCCTTGTCATAGGGCTGGGCACTGAACACGGCGATTCTCATTTTAACGGCTTTTGTAATGTTCAATTGAGGTTTCGAAGGGAGTTCTCATGAGACTGCTTCATCTTTCTTGGATGCGTATCGACTTTTTTATAACCGTCTGTGTAATTGCAAGTTCAGTTCATCTACCTTGGATCTCTTCAGCCACGTCGGCCGAGACGGAACAGGATATACCGAGTAAACTCCATAGATATCAGCCATTTTGATCGACGAAAACAAAGTCAATGAGCAAGATCATGCCGTGGCAAAAATATTTGTTTCGTCATGCGTCTGTACATGACACAATTGAGAAGCTCTATGGATTCTAGAGCTTCAATTATGTGACGTGTTGACTCGTTTCACTTCAGGGGCAAGTTCGATCTACGGAGGAGGTTTGACTATAAATAGTCGCGATTGATATCATATCTAATAGTCAAATCAGAAAGCAATCAGCAAGCAATCAAAACAAAGCTCTACACACAATGCAATCCAATTCAGCCCGAAATTCTTCAAAGAAGCCTACAATTGCCATCGATCTCCATGTTAGTTTTGAAGCCTCACTTGATAAATGCATTGAACCCATACTGATTACAAAAGCCGGTCAAAATCGCCATCGTCGGCGCAGGCAATGTCGGGGCTTCTACCGCTTACGCTCTTCTTCTGAGTGGTCTCGCAGCCGAAATCGTCCTGATCGACCTTAATCGACGCAAGGCCGAAGGAGAAGTAATGGACTTGAACCATGCAGCTCCCTTCTCACACCAGACCAAGATCACACTTGGTGATCTTGAAGACTGCTCTGAGGCAGCGATTGTCATAATCACAGCTGGCGCAAACCAGAAGCCCGGACAGTCGCGGTTGGATCTCTTACGGATCAATGCCAAAATCATCGAGGACATTGTTCCAAAAGTCACGCAAATGGCCCCGTCCACCATCCTTCTTATAGCGAGTAACCCAGTCGATGTCTTGACCTTCCTGAGCTGGAAATTGTCTGGGTTCCCGCCGAGCCGCGTGATCGGGTCCGGTACCGTTCTGGACACCGCACGCTTGCGCGACACTCTAGGCCGACGATTGGATGTTGACCCGAGTAACATTCATGCAGACGTTGTTGGGGAGCATGGTGATAGCGAATTGCCAGTGTGGTCGCGGGCCAATATATCAGGTATCCCGTTGGCGGAGTTTTCCCAGCAGGCTGGTCAGGATGCAAAGGATATCATGAAACAATCATTCCAAGACACCAGGAATGCTGCTTATGAGATAATCAAGCTGAAAGGCATGACGGACTATGGTATCTCTGCTGGCTTGGTGAGGATCGTGGAGACTATACTCAGGAATGAGAACACGCTTATGACTGTGTCAACGGCTGGAACCTTTGCAGGCGTGAGTGAAATCGCGTTGAGCATGCCGAAAAAGGTAAACCGAACCGGGGCCCACCATGTTATCGACATCAAGCTGTCTGAAGAAGAAAGTCGGGAGCTGGAAAAGTCGGCACACACTATCAAATCTAGCATAGAATCTTTGAAGTCATAATGTCAGGATGCCAGAATATTTTATGAACTATGGGATCATTTTACCGTGTGGTCCCACTCTTTGACAGCCACGGGACTAGGTAATGAGTACACAAGATTGAAGCCAATCATTTGAAAGTATCTTCATTTCGCAGTCCAGTATTCTGATCGACTATACACTATTTCCAGCCTCGAGTGACGAGCGGCTCCGTGGTGGCCTCTCCCAGCGAAAGCAATATTGCCCCATCTCCATTGCGGTGAATCTAGACCGGTGGCCAGTCATCCAGTGTGGCTTTCCATTCTAGGTTGTGCCTATCTCGAATGGTACATCGTGGTCGGGCGATGTTGGTAGGTCCGGCCATATAAATCGCTGTGGTGCTTTGAGATACCTTTCCATATCCCCGTCGGATCTTCGCGTTGCTACCCATTCGCTCAAGAAGTTGCGAAACTTCGATACGTCAAGAATCAAGTTCGCGATTGACGATCCATTCAATACTTTGCACCATGTCTATATGTCGATCCCAGTAGGGGATATCCGAGAAGGAAGTATCGTTCGTGATGAGCTCGTAGAGTGTAAAGGCGACACCAGTAACATCATATCGACCTTCGTTGCCGCAGTAGTTCTGGCCTTCGGACTAGAACCTGTCTTGAGAGTTGATCATGGCAAAATTCAAGTCGCGTGTGTCTAATACAGAAAGCTGCGTTGACAGGGCTGCAGCTTTAAATTTCAGGATTCGCCAGTTCGCTGAGCCGATTGTCGAAATGTCACTCAGCTTTTGGAGAAAGTGGCCCACTTTGTATGGTGAAATGGTCGTGCACGGCCCACCCCCATACAAAAATTGTCCCCCGCAGCAATTTCTAGCCACTTGTACTGCACATTGCATTTTTACACCCCAAATGTGGTCGGTGGGTATGTGTAGAAGGGGTCGGGGACCGCGATAGTGACTGCGTTGTGTTGTGCCCGATATATAATTCTGTTAAGCATTACTCCGTAAGAATCAACTCATCTGACCCCCGCATCTTAGCGTAAATATAGTAATTAAGCACCCAGGACCAAATTTGGCAGGCCTGCTCGTTTAGAAATACGTTCATCACCTACCTTTCCAGACTAATAAAAAATCTAAGTGCACGACGACGATCCTAAGAAAGATAAGTACCAAATCAAATGGAAATGCGTCTAGCCTTCGTGCCCGGCTCGGACTTGCTATCAAGTAGGGACTGGGCAGAATTGAACCAGCGCTTGAGCTTGGCGGCATTTTTCTCCGCGGACATTTCGATCTCGACTCCCTGATCCTCGATATCATTCATGTACTGTTGCGCGTGTTCTTCTATGTCGCCCATGTGCTTTTGCGCTTGTGCTTCTATTTCCTTCATACACTCATTGGCCGTATTGTGTATCTCGGAGTTAGCGTCGTCGACCTTTTCACCCAGTCCGGCTTCATGCATTTTGCATTCGTCGAAGATCTGTTCACGACACTCGCTCACGGCTCTATCGACAATCTCGTCGACAATATGTGATTTGAGACGGCGCTCAATCATTTCATCGACATATTGTTTAAGGTGGCTCTCCATCATCCCAACATTGGCAAATCTAACTTTCTCAGACTCGGATGGCCGGTCACTGTCTACATCTTGTGGTGTGGCCAGCAGATGTTCCCGTCCTAATCGGATTAAAAGTTGGCGGATCCAGTCATCGGAAGCACCACGAAGTTCATCTTCAAGGCGCGCAAGTCTGTTACGCTTTGTGCGGCCAGGGGAGGAAGTATGCGTAAAGTACGTGGGACGGATTGAGGCCGACGGGGAGTGTGTAGTACTCGGTGTATTGACTTCCGTGGGAGAGCCTAGTGGTTCAGGGGATGTAAGGAGCAGTCTTTTTCGTCTTTCATCGTCAGGTGACATTGACCATAGGTCTAGATACTATTAATGAGCCATTGAATGACAAATTACAGACGATAAGAAGTGACAAGATACCTCTGGGCCGTTTTCCAACCGCCTGCTCAGACTGCTCAGAATACAGGGGTGGATCCACCTGCTTCACCCGGTCGGAGACCCGCTCCTCAGAATACGGGGGTGGATCGAGCAACAAACTGAAGGGCCAATCTTTCTGCACCACGCCATGCCGAGCGTAGTCAAAATGCTCTGCCTGAAGACTCCGGAGAGCACCCGAGAAAAATTCTAGCTGATTAAGTTCTTTTTCCACGAATTGTCGTTTGGAAAAGTGTAGACGAAGAGATGTAGATTGACAGATCTTCGCAAATGCGTCAAGATCTAAGTCTTCTTGATTGGCTGGACTTAAAGACTCTACCCCAGATGGACAAAGAAAACGACCAGTCTTATTGAGTATCAGACTCAGTGTTGAGACGGCCGAAAGGTTGGTCACGGGCGCCGGGAGCTTGGGGAGCAAATCAGATGAACAGAGGCCGACGTTGCTTATCCGGGCTAATTCACATTTTTCGACTATTTCTGGTGGGATATTCAACGTCAGCACCTGTGATCTGCCGCTCAAGTTAGCAAGCTCTGCCGTAAACCGAAGGGAGATAGATCCTCGGTTGGCGGTTTTATCGTGGGCAATACGAAGGCGAGCAGAACAACAAGCCTTGAAATCGGGTGTGTAAACAAGGACTGTCTTCTGCAGGACCCAGAGCGGGTTTGACGATCTGGTGGTCATTGTGCGATATTCGCTGGATTAAACAGGAAGACCCTCGAAGAATCGAGAAACCCTCCCACCCGGGCTTTCAAATAGTATTGAGCAGCCCTGACTCGCGTGAAATGTAGAATGAATGATGAAAAGAAGAAGAAGAGAAGAGCAAAGTGGTAAAGCTTTTGCGGCCTGGCCACGAGCACATGCCCAATCCGAAGTCAACAAGTGAAATCGGAGAGTCCTATGAGAACACAGGAATGGCAGGACTGGCGACAAGGACGGCAAAGAACAGTACTTCCTTTACGGGATGATGATGATGGTGATGATGGTGATGATGGTGATGAGGATGATGGTTGGTGGAGGAGAAGGTGGAGCAGGTGAAGAGATGCCCAGAGGATGGAAGAAGGGGGAGGCTGGGGAGTTTGACCACGTGATTTATCACGTGAGCAAACATTATGGATTTAGCGTCTGAACTCGTGGAGCTCGGATTTCCGTCCGATTTTTTTTCACGGCTGCCATTTTATGAGCAATAAAATTCTAGAGTATTCAAAAGGGTGTTTATTGGGTCACAATTAGGAATTCTGGTGATGGGGTGCCGACCCCAGCGACCGTGATACATCCACCCCGACAGCGAGGTGCCAAGAAGCTATGGTGGGGCATCAGATAAGCTCAGCCACAGGGGAATCTTGGAATTATTTCCCTGGTATGAAGAGTTTCTTTCATCTCAAGTCCTATTCACCAATTCATCCCATTCAATTCATTCATCATGGAGGAACATCTACGCCACAGTCTCTCAAACCATCCTCATGCCTTCCAACACTTGCATCATACTCATAGCGGTTCACCGTCACACCGGAGTGACAGAATGCCTCCACTAGCCATCAACGAAGGGACCACCACCGCCCTTGAGCATGAGCTCACCACCATTCACCAACACCGAACTGGTAGTTCCAGTGATGAAGAAAGCCTGCCGCCACGTTACACCTCTGAAAGCGATCCGTTCCAATTGGCCTCGAAGCTAAAGACCGAGGATGAGATCCGACAGATGAAGGCCAATACCTCGCGGAAACGGGATTCCACCACTGCGAACAAAGGCCGGAGAGTGGGAGACATAGTGGGAGACACTGCCCGTCTTGGAAAGCAAGCCTTCGTCACCAAGAAGCTACAGGGGTTTTACGAGTCCCAAAATGAAAACATCGAGCGCATGCTGAAACCCGTCGAGGAGCACCGACGTGCTGCCCGCGAGCTGAGCGTCGACAACCGTCTCAAGTACCGGATTGCTGTCTACGGTAGTTTTGCCGCGAACATCATTCTCTCGGTCATTCAGGTGTACGGTGCCGTTTCGTCCGGATCGCTCTCTCTGTTTACCACAATGGCCGACGCCGTCTTCGACCCCATGTCCAACATGACCCTTCTGCTGTGCAACAAGGCCGTCAATCGCGTTGATCCACGGAAGTTCCCCGCTGGAAAGGCCCGCATTGAAACCGCGGGCAACATCTGCTTCTGCTTCCTTATGACCTCGGTCTCTTTCATCATCATCGCCTTCTCTATTCGCGAACTGGCAGCGGGCTCCGAGGAAGAAACCCAGTCTTTCCACCTGCCCTCCATCATTGCCGTCGCTGTCGCCTTTGCCACCAAACTAGCCCTCTTCTTTTACTGTTGGGCCCTGCGCAACCAGGTCTCCCAGATCCGCATTCTGTGGGAGGATCACCGCAACGATCTGTTCATCAACGGGTTCGGTATTCTGACTTCCGTCGGTGGTAGTAAGCTGCGTTGGTGGATCGATCCCATGGGTGCTATCATTCTGTCCGTGCTGGTCAGTGGGCTGTGGCTGCACTCCGCCTATGGCGAGTTCCAGTTGCTCGTCGGCGTTACTGCCGACACCAAGATGCAGCAACTCATCACGTATATCGGTATGTTTATTCCCTTTCGGTTCTTCTAGCTCTTGATAAAGCATTCACTAACATCTCTTTCAGCCATGACCCACTCTCCTGTCATCACTGCCATCGACACCGTCCGTGCATACACCTCTGGCCCTCGCCTGCTGGTCGAGGTGGATGTCGTCATGGACGCGGAGGCATCCCTACGTGCTACCCACGACGTTGCTGAAGAGCTCCAGATTAAGCTGGAGTCGCTTCCCGACGTTGAGCGTGCCTATGTGCATGTTGACTACGAGACCACCCATAAGCCTGAGCATTCCGTGAAAAAGGAGCTCTAAAAAGTTTGCTTGACAATTTGGACAGCTTTAACACGAAGTCCACCCTCCTTCAATTATCTTCAAGTTCTTCAGGTCCTGTGTTATTCTATTCGGAAGAGTACGATTAGGCTGTTTCTTGTTTTATTGCGCAATGAATAAAGTTCCCCGGGAAACCATACAGTAACTGTAGAATATAGTGCCTTTCCATATCTTCTTTGGGCCCTCGTCGGCATTGGTCAGTGTCCAATGGTCTCTTTGAGGGACAGCCCGATGAACAGTTTTAATAAACCAAGCATTGACTGTCAGAATGTCGACGATTAGCAGTTACTGATAGTTCCCAAGCGACTAGGAAAAACTGGCTGTAGAGCTATTTGGGTGAGAATATGATGGAACACAGCCTGAAGTCTCCAACCATGTGATATGTGCACATGTGATTATCTCATGGGTGCTTTCCCTTTTGGTCAAAAATCGTCACCAACCGCAGTTTCCCCCATTGCCTTGAGTCACCACCCCCAGGGTATAAAACCCAACCCCCTCCCCCCTCTTCCTCTTCCTTTTTTCTTCCTTCTTCGTACCACTCTAGGTCCGCACTACACCTCGTTCCTGGAGTGGTCTTATTCTTTTGACTTTGGTCTCTGTGGATATCAGGTTAGGTTGTGGCACGAAGCATGTCCGAGGAGGTAACAATGCTCTACCAGTCACGTACTCCGACTGACCTCTGTGGATACGGACTGTCCAGCTGCTGCCCACATTGTCTTCATCTCCAACCCACTTTTTGGAACTTTTTCACGGAGATAGCCCTCTGTGTTTGTTGTTCCTTCTTTCTTTGATATGATTACTCCCGGCGGCGCGGGGGGGGGGGGGGGGGGGGGGGGGGGGGGGGGGGGGGGGGGGGGGGGGGGGGTGGGGTGGGGGGGGGGGGGGGGGGGGGGGGGGGGGGGGGGGGGGGGGGGGGGGGGGGGGGGGGGGGGGGTGGGGGGGGGGGGGGGGTGGGGGGGGGGGGGTG